TGGGATGAGGTTTGCTCTCTATTTATCTGCTGTGGCCTGCTTTGCCAGTGCTGGTGGGGGTCGGGGTTCTGTTTTGCTCTTCTGGTAGTTCATTAATTAGCGTGTGTTGACTGCTTGGTTGTGTGCCTGGTGGTGACTCCCAACTCAGAATCCATCAGCACAGTGTGAAGTTAATGGTTTTTCATCCTTTTGCTGAACAACACAGGACCAACTTCACTTTTACAGAACTAACATGCCAGCAAATATTTTTCTCTAGATAGACAAGGCATCCTTGTGGGCCACCAATATTTATGCCTTATGTTTTTTTAGAAGCATTCAGATCTAAATCTAAATCTTACTAGGCTGCTGGATTTGTCTTAACGTTTGAGGAACAGTGTAGTTCTTAGGCAGTAGTGTCAATTTTCATCCCTCCTTTTGTAGTAGCCTCTATAAATGTCCTCCCTGACAGTTGGTCGGCCGTTAAGATGCAGCAAATGTGTCTTACAGCTGCATTAAACTAAAGAGACGCCTAGCCCAGCATCCTCTTTCTAAAAGCAGGCAGCCAAAGTTCTTCATAAAGCTATTGCCCCCCATTATTTGAGTCCTCTTCCTGCTCTCTAACCACCTTTTAAGCCCTTCTGAGTTCACTGCCAATATTGTATTTGTGGAAAATAAAATCCCATGAATTAATCTTGCTCTTGATGAAAAACGTTGGTCTCTTGAACAAGGTACACAGACGCAACCAGGCGCTCTTCCCCTGCATCACCCCATTCCCCTTCTTGATGCCAGCAGCCTTTCCTGAGCTGTGGCTGCTGTGCTGGCCCCTCCGGCCACCCCCTTGCCAGCCTGTTTTCCCCAGCCTGTTCATGACTGGCTTTTCTCTTTTGCACCAGGTTGCCCGCACTGCATCCTGCTGCCAAGGAGCCTGCCGCACTTTTTTTGCTGAAGTAAAAAAAAAATAAAAAAATACAGATAATTGTCTCTGGGCTTCCAGTACTAAGAAGCGTTAATGCCTTCTGACTTCAAACACGTACCAGCACAAACACACATATTCCTTGTCTAAGTTAACACATTCTACAGAGAGGGAATGACTATTACCCTGAACAATTTAAATTCAAATAGCAATAGCAGGACCAAGATCAGAGTCCATCAGCCAAAGTCTGAAAGGATGTTTATATTGCATTTTTACAAAATATTATCCGCTCATTATATAAACAACTTGGGTTTTATATTATTATCAAGACAAGAAAGTCCAGCCCATACTGATTAGAGCCCCATCCAGAGTTCTGAGAACAGGATGGCCTGCAACTGCCCAAGGAGGCCCCAAGCCCAAGGAGCACTCATGCTTTGTTCCTCTTCTCTCAGTCCTTCGAAAGAGAAATACTGGGCTGCCATCACCTTTTCTTGCTTCCTCAAGATGCCAGTCCCTGGTGAGCAGGAAAACCTCCCCCTTTGTCGTAGGGGCTGTGCCTCCAGCACCTGGCACAGTCCTGCCGTTTTTGTAATCTAAGCCTACTTTACTTGCCTGCAAATCCAGACTTGGGATTTTCAGTCTCTCCTGGGACAGCGTTGTCCATAAGTTCATCCTGGGTAGAACCGCGCAGCTCCAGAAGACAGCCGAGGGCAGGGCAGACAGACCCGTCTCTTGATTTTCCCCTTATAATTCCTGCTGCCGCCGCCGCTGCCACCACCATCGCTGTCACCACCACCATCCTGATTCCATAAGCACCTAACTCCGAATCGCTGTCTTTCTTTCTCGGTCTTTACTCTGCAAAGGGACCAAGCAGGAGAAGGAAATGACGTAAACGTGCCTAGAGCTGCTGCTGATCACGTGGCCAAGGAGGCTCTGCGCCACCAGCCCTCGCCATCCTCGTCTCGCCACCTTAGCCAGCACCGCGAGAGAGGCTGCAGCAACTGGCTCCACAGTGCCACTTCATAGCACAGCCTCTTTCCTAGGGTGGATGCTGAATTCTGACTCCGGGCCCTGCACCTCTCTTCCGCCCAGATGGCAACAGCATAAAAACTCCCAAGGGAACGTACGGCTTCCAGAGCTGAAAGGGCTGCCCTCCCCACCTGCTTGTTTCCTTGGATCCTGCCCCTAGTTTTAACCCCACCCTTTGGAACAAAGTTGCTCTCTGCCGTTTGCGTTCCTGCAGTTAGGAGACAACTGGGTGGCAGAGTGGTAGCTTTTAACTGGAAGGTCTTTGGGGTGGGGCATGACAAGGGTCTCCCTGGCCGGCCATCCTTTCTGAGGCCTTCTGAGGTGGCTCAGGTTGTTCTCCGGGGAATGGGAGCATCTTGACTCAGGCGCCTTAGGGTCAGGAGGCACCAAAGGTGCGATTAACGGCCAGCGGATGGTTGCTAACAGGCAGCCCCATCCTTTGTTAAAGGAGAGGCAAAAAAGAGGAGGGGGGAGCCCAGGAACGGCAAAATTGAATTTCCCAGATGTTCAGGCCCCAAGAGCACTCTTGCTGTCTGGAGAGGAAATGGGGATTCGGAAAATCCCGCCTCATATTTTTCTCCCCATCCCCTTCCTTTCCGCTGCCACTAAAAGCAGGAATGGTAAATTAAGGGGGTTGTGAAGCAAGCCCATCTTCAGGGGGTGGGGGACGGCAGGAAGAGCCCCCTCCAGGCTGCTGTGCCCCAAGCAGCGTCTGCACAGCTGGCTTCCAGGTGCCTACTCCTTGCTTGCTGAAGCATTGGTGGGGATACCCGGGATGTCTCGGTTCGGTCCATGGCTTGTGATGATAGGCGCCTGAGAGGGAAAGTAAGGGACCTCCCTGTTTGGGGAAGTTTGCCCAAGAAAAGCGTCCCTGGGCCAAGGGCACTCTGGTACATTAAGCTTGCCGTGGTGTTGTAAGGAAAGGGCAAAGCTGGCTTCTGCCAAAGTTTGTAATGACTGATTTGAAACAACGGGGAGGCTCTCCAGTTGAGCCAACCTGCATGCCAACCCCTGGCCGTTTCCTGGATTGGGGTTCGGGGGCAGGGCTCCTTTGGCACTCCGAGGCACTGCAGTTGAAGAGGTGGAAGGATGAACCCTTTGGGCTCCTGATGCTGTTTAGAGCAGGTCCTTCCAGTGGCTACCAACTGGCCCTTGCAGGAGCCCTCTACCCTGGAAGGACCGCAAAAGCCCCTTCTGGACTTGCTGTGGGGGGGGTCTTCCCCCCCTTGCAAGTCAGTGCTGTGAATGCCTGACCCCTCTAGACCTCTGGAGGGGCAGCTGCCTGGCGGAGATCAAGCCCACTTAGCCTCCCACTGAGTCTTGACTTCAAAGTGGGCGCTGTTTCCTGCTGTTAAAGAAACTGCGGCTTCATGAGGGGCATTAGAAGAAGCAAAAGAACTCTGTTAGTTCTGGGCTTCGGCAAAGCCGACCCGTTTGCTTCCCTTCTTTTTATTTGGAGTTCCTGTTTGGGTTTATGAAAGTGAAGGAGGCAGCCAGGAGACTGGAAGATTCATCAGCAAAGCGACTTCAGAGCCCGCAGACTCTCGGCGCAGGACTGAGAGCTAGTCCCAGCTGCTGCTCCGGATTTCCAGTCAACCACAGCCATGATTCCCCTGCCTCCGGGGAAATCTTGACCTTCCATTAGGGAACTGGGGGGGCAAAAGCAGATCATCCACAGGCCCTTCACATTCCCAGGAGCCTGATCCCCACTTCCATGAGCCTGTTCTTATTCTCTCCCCCACCCCCCACCGTGGATGCAGAGAAGGGCAGATGCGCAGGGCCTGGAGTCTGCCCGTCAGCGGGATAGGCGAGCAGAGCGGACTGCATCTGGCAGAAGCCACAGAAAGGAAGATCAAGCTTGACTGCGGGCCGGACGGCCGGGGGCTCGGAGAACCCCTCCCCCTGCATCCCCGGGGGAGGGGCAGGGGCTCGCAGTGCTGCTGACTGCTCCACTCTGAGCCCCTCCCTCCCCCTTCCCAGTCATGTGACCCAGAGCAGAAAGGTTTTTAAGGGGTGGAATAAAATTGGTATAAAATAGACTCTTCCTAGCTTGTTATAAATAAGGATTTATAATCCTTATAGGGAGTGCTTGAAAATGTTGTGGATAAAATAGCTAAAGAGCAGATAATATGGCCAATAGGAGAAAAGCTGGTTTACTTATTTTCAGAGTTTTTTGCCTCTGGAATATAGCACTACATCCTCGAATTGGCACATCTGTTGTAGTACCTGGTCATCTTTTGAACCTGGGAGGCCCAGCAAGTGCAGCAGCATTTATGGCATGTTGGTGAGGGTAAGCATGACTCCCTTTACTAAAAAGAAAAAAGGAAAGAAAAGAAAAAAGAAAAGAAAAGAAGCATGGTATTTCACTGAAATACCAAAAGAAATGTGTGGCAGTTAAAAAGCCATTCTGCACTTTTGAGCAAGGTTTCAGGCATGGAAAAAACAACTACTCAAAATGAAGGCTTCTAGAATAACCATTTGTTGAGGCCTGATAGTCAGGTAATCTGGGCATCTAAAAATGATACTGTGCGGGTGCCACTAAAGACACACATGAAATAGTCCATAACACTCTCTTGCAAACATGTGAATCCATTCAGTGATCGTACATATGAACTGGACTGCTGCACCCCAAACTCTTGGCGGTCCCTGAAGTAGCCCAAGAGGACATCTTCCAGTCTACCACTGAGGTCCTGAAGCACCTGGCACTGAAGTCCTCCTTAGGAGCTTGTTGGAAAGCCCCCCCTTGGAATTCTAATTGGCATTAACTGGGTAGACAGGTTATAATTCTTTTAAAAAAATGAATAAATTGGCAGTTGATTTGGCTAGCTATTGTGGGAAGTACGACATTCTTAAATTGTTGTGGGGAGAGGAAGCAAGATGGAAAACAGTGACATAGAACCAGGTTCTCAACTACTCTCAGCCACAGAAGTTCATGGGTGACTTTGGGCCAGTTGCCCCCTCTCAACCAAACTACCTTAGAGGTGGTTGTTGGGGAAGAATAGGAGGAGGGATGCTGTATGCTCCTGTATGAAAGATGGGATACCGGTCTAATAAAAAAAAAATTAACAAAATCACTTGCCTTTCATTTTTGGCCAGTGCTCTAAGCACATAACGTGGCAACTATTGGTTGCTGTCTCCGTATTTTCGCAGCAGTAAAACATCCCCATATGGAGAGAAGGGGAGAGAGAGAATTCCACGCTTGAAAAGTTAGTATTGGCCGCTAGACTTAGAGTATGAGCAGGTACTTCCCATCCATCATTTCACTGCTGTCCTCTGTTGGCATCAAGTCGAGAGCAGCAAAGCTGTGAGGAAAGGTAGGCAAGAGGAGGAGGATTCCTGAAGTCCTTTTTAGGAGGTAGTCAACCCAGGAAGATATTGACAAGGATGGATTGTGTGACATTCTGAGGAGAAGTCAGGGTGGAAAGCAGCTTTCTGCCATTGGCTCCAGGAAGAGAGCACGCTCCTCCTGAAGACCGTCCTTGCAGACCTCTGACTTGGGAGCACCTCTTGTAACAACGTGAGTCTTCTCTTTTGGGAAAGACTGCAGTTCAGCGTCAGAGCACTCCTTCTGCGTTCAGAATGACACACATTCAGGCCCTGGCACCTCTCCTGGGGTGTCCTGAAAAGACCTGTCCTTGTCAGTGAGCTACTGTCCACGGATGGGTGAGACTGGTCCAGCGGAATCCTTGACCTGACCCGGTGTGAGGCGGTTTCCTCTGAGCTGCGTTTGTGTCTGCAGCTGCTGCCCCATGCTGATTTCAGCAGCAAAGGAATTCGGGACTCTGTGCCTGGCGTGTTTCGTGAGGAGCGGCGGCGGCTGTGTTGCTTTTCTTCCCTATTAAAAATTGGGGAGGGGGGTGCTGCCAGTGCTTGGCGTACTTCGTCCCTGCTATTTCTGTGCATCAGGTCCAAAGATGCCCATCTCTCAAGGGTGCTGGGTGACACTCAGTGAACTCCAGCTGTGTTTTCTGGTCTTAAATGCCAGTTCCACCATGATACCAGCAGTTAAGAGGCAGCTCCTGATTTGGGATCCTTTTTAGTGAAAAGCAAGGCTGCCCGGATATATATTGTTTGAGGGCAAATTCTCCACTTCTGCTCTGTCTGTGCAGCCTTAATGGTGAACAGGGAGAAATCTGATTTTTGCCAACTGCCATTCTTTTCGCCATCTTCCTGATTTCTTAATACGGATCACAAATAAATCCCACTAAGAAGCAGTAGGCATTATTCTCCTCATTCAAGAGTGTTCTTTCATTGTCCTTTCTTCCAACTCTTCTCGAAGTTTTATATGAGATCATTTCAAAATCTGTATTTGGGTCCTCTGGATAAATTAACTGGGAGAGCATAGACATTGGCAAAGTTAAGGAATGCTATTGTAGAAGAGCAGAGAGATGTGTTCTTAGTTCACGCTCAACTGCGGAGTTTTATATTTTTAATTACCCAATCGCAGTCCTAATTGTAGACATCAAGTATTAAAACTGAGCTAATCTACTTTTAAATGATTGCAAAAGCATGCTTGCTTTCCAATGTTTCATAAAATACCGCTGGGTTCCTGGAGGGGGTCTTCTCTCTGCAGCAGTATTTTCTCCTCCTTGGTGATGGATGTTGCCTTCTGTGCCATGACCTTTTGAGGGTCTTCTGCCCCACAGATAAGTTTACAGAAGCGCCTGCTGAGGAGCAAAATAGGTTCTGTTGCAAATTTCCCTTTTCACGCTGAAACTCAAGGAGGTGCGTTTTCCATGCCTCTTCTTCAGCTGTGGCGTCCTTGGGGTTCTCTGAGCTGGGTTGTTTTCTGGCAAGCGTTTCGTTACCCGGCCAGGTGACATCTTCAGGGCTAGAAGGGAGTGGGGCTTGCTCTCTGTTTATAGACTGTGACACACCCTGCCAGTGTTGGTGGGGGTGGGGGGTTTGTTTTGTTCCTCTGGTAGTTCCTTGATCAGTATTGTTTACTGCTTGATTGAATGTCTGGTGATACGGGTTTTCTTTAGCTGTCCCTACAATCATCTCCGTTCCTGTGTGCCCCAGTGTATATTTCCAATATGCCATTCCTCAAGATGGAGCGTACGGCATGCGCGTGTGGACCCTTCTCCCTCTCTGGCTATTATTGCATGCTCGCCCTTTTAATGGGCAAGGAACGGGGTGGCTGGGGGCGGAGGTTTCCTTTCCCACCAGCGGCCTGGGCTTTTTCTTTCTTCTGGGGCTGCTGTGAAGCTGTACTCTTGCCCTGAATTCTTGCTCAGATTCCTCAGGAGAGCAGCTTTAAGCTCGGAGAGAAAAATGTGCACGTTCCCAAGTGAAGATACCAGTGCTCACCAAACAGAATAGCAAGGAAGATAAACGCACGCCCCTTTTGTATCTAAAAGAAATGAGCCCTAAAAACATAGTCCTCTCTAAGCAATTATAGCAGCTTTGAGAATCAAAACAGTTTGGAACTTATATGGCAAATTGACGCCTGTGCCATTTTTAAGAAGTAGCGTACTTTTTCTCCTGGTGCCACGCACAAAATGAAGGAGGGGCTTGTGTTGCACAGGGATCCTCCTGCTTTAGAGAAGATTTGAGGAATCTGTGTACTGTTCGTTGTGTAGTGTTGCTCCTTGTGCTCTTGAGAGCTGAAGGTGCCCGAGGTAAGGAGCCGAATGTTTCTGGCTGACGGGGGAGTTGTCTTTCCCACCCCAGATGCATTTGCTCTTGGATCTGTGGGATCTGGCATGCAGGCTGCACTTCTTTCAGAGGATGAGAACTGAAGGAGAGGCGGCCTGCTTTGGCTTCCTACGGCGCTGTGATATTCAGACAAAGTTGGTGGTGATCCACTTGTGTTACTGTGCATGGGGGGGGAGGGAAAGGAAGCACCGCGGGACACTTACCAACATTCATCTGTGCATGCAAATCAGAAGAGGCCACATACTTTTCTTTCCAGAAGAAGCTTGTAGGTTTTGTACATGTGAAGCATCTCATCCAGGATACTGTAAATGGAGAATTGTGGTATGCCTGCCTGAACTGGCCAAGATTGAATTCTGATCCTTTTTTCTTCCTTTTCTCCTCTGGCTCTTCTCTGTGTCATTTCACCTTGTCTGGTTGTCTGGTTCCACAGACTTTTTCATTGTACCTTAACCAAAATGTGCCCATAATTAAGATTGATTTGAGGAAATGTGTTGGTTGCCCAGCAAGCTCCTGTATACACAATTACATCCACAGTTAGTAATCTGGGGCTCTCCAGATGCTTTAAGCCAAGCTTCCAGTATTCTCCAGCTTTCAGCCATGCTTCTGGGACTTGTGGAAGTCATAGTCCAAAGAATCTGGAGGCAACCCCATTTTGTGCTCCTGGACTACATACATCCCTTCTCTCTTTCTGTGAAGGATGAAATTTCATAAGAGCACATGGCGGCCTTGGGTGGTGTCAGAGGTTCCCTGTGATGCTTCTGGGAACTTTTCAAGGAAGCCAGGGTGTTATCCTGCTCTCTGTGCCCCCATAGCATTGGGTTCTCCTAGATGTTGCAGCACCCCTTGGAAATCCCAGCCTCTGTAGCATCTTGTGGTGAGGAATTCCACGAGGAAGGCCGTTGTTCTGCGGGTCCTGAACCTTCTGAGAGCCACTTTAGAGGATGACCTGTCCAACCTTTGGTCCTGAGCACAAACACGCACACCAGACTGAAACGCAGACTCTTAAACTCTTCCACACCAGGCGGGAACGCGGCCACGAGGCTGTTGCGCTGCACTTTCCATTAGGCTCTTGGTGCACGCTGCAAATTTTTTCTGAACTCATAGTTTCCGCTTCAGGATTGCAGGCTGTAATGGAACTAAAACATCTAAAACAGTCAACTGATAAATATGTTTTTTTTTTTTTACTTTAAACACTTTTTAATTTTTTTTTAAATCACAGTCAAAATCTTTAAGAAGGATAATTAGCACCAAAAATGTGCCAGATGTTTCAGTTCCCTCCATGTTTTCTGCTTTAATAATAATTAAAAGTTCTTGCTAAAGTGTCTCAAACTAACGCCTCGTATTGAAATACTTTTAAGTTGGATTCGGTGTGGGTGGCGTCCTCTTCCCATGCAGGCCGAAATATCAGTATATTTCCTGGCAGCGGATGGGCAGGGGTCTTAAATAAGAGGGGGTCCTTTCGCTTGGCAGTCGCTGTGTTCACAACACCGCAGTGGGATGCGCCTGTGAAGCGAGGGGTTTCCAGATCCAAAACGTGCGCTTCAGGAGTGGGTGGAGAGAAGCGTCTCATGTAGCTGACTAGCATGTAGCTCTAAGGTGGATACCCCCTTGCAGAAGCAACAGGTGTGAAAAGATCCGAGGCTGGCGTGTAGTGCACAGGGCCGCAGCATTGGTCTTATTCCCCCACTGGAGCGATGGGCTTCGTCACGGGAGGCATACTTTGGGTGGCTGGGGTCGCTTCGTTTTCCATAAAGCCCAAAGGGGGGATTCTGGAGGGCCAAGGCAGAACTGAGGGGTAAGGATATACTTAATGCAGGGGTTTGCACTGAGCCCCCAAATGTAGCTTCTCTAGCATGTATCTCTTTGTTTCCCTTCCTCCGCCAAAGGTTTCGTAACCTTTTTAACCTTCTTAGGAATTGAATATGTTTGCTGGTATGGGGGGTGGGCACGCAGATGCCTTCGCCTTTGGTTCAGCAGATGGCACCAGCCTAGGAGGGCTTCCTTCCTTCTGGTCACAGGCATGTTTGAAATGGACTTTAGCTTCCCATCCAAAGCACTCTGGTCCCTAAAACGATTACGGTCCTTGGGCTTGTAAATGTTAATTGGCTTAGTACGTGAAGGAGCCCCTCTCTTTCTCCCTGAGGCGGACAAGGCAGCCCAGATGGGAATCACCCTGCAGCTCTGGGCGGGCGCAGTCAGACGAGGAGTCCGGACTCTGCTCATTCGTACGGTCAGGGTGGAGAAGGGTAGCTTTGGGAAAGTCACAATTTCTCAGCCTCAGCTTACTATTTGTAATAAGATTTGGGAACAGCTATTAGCCAATAAGATGTTGCCAGGATGGTACAACACTATCTTGCCAAAAGGCAAGTGCTGCTAAATCAACCTCTCTCGCTTTTCCCCAATCTCTGTGTTGTCCTGCCTGATTGGCTCATATCGCCCCGATATTCGAGCCCCCGCCCCACCACCTCTTCGGACATCGGGGATCAGGCACGTCACTGGAAGAGAAGGGCTCCAGAGCCTCCCCGATCTTGTGTGTGTGGACTGGGCATGGGCAACAGGGAGCCCTGGTGGGAGTGCCAACCATTCCTTCTCGCAGCCAGCCCCTAGATCAGACGGGGGCCTTCCAGAACTTCCTTGCTCCCCACCCCCCGCCTCAGCAGGAGACAGCAGTACTCACCAGCCTCCTCTGGTTGCTGAGGCAGAAAGTGCAGATCTGCTTGGGTTGGGACCCTTCGCTGTCCTGGGCGGGTGAGCTGCCGCCGCCGCCGCCACCACCACTTTTGTTGCTGCTAGCGCTGCCGTGGTGGAAGAAGGCTGGGGTGGAGTGGCAGGGCTGCCCGTCTCCGCATGCCTCCCCGACCAGGAGGACGTTGCCCAGGTGCGAGATGTAGCTGGAGGCCAGGCGGAGGGTCTCGATCTTGGAGAGCTTCCGGTCCGCCGGTTCGGTGGGGATGAGAGTCCTCAGAGCGCTGAAGGCCGTGTTGACGCTGTTGGTGCGGTCGCGCTCCCGCGCGTTGGCCGTGTGGCGCTGCCGGGGCTCCCGGTGGACGCGGCTGGCCTTCTTCCCGTGCCCGCGCTTGCTGCCTTTGAGTCCGTACCCACTGGCGCCCAGGGGGTACGGCTTCTCGTCTGAGCCCGAGCTCTCGCTCCCATTCTCCTCGTCCTCCGACAGCATGCTGATCTCGGGGTACAGGAACCGGCTGGGGGCCGAGCGCAGCATGGCGAACGACATGGCGGGAAGAGGCGATGCGTGAGGGCTCTGCGGGGAAGACGGTCCTCAGCTCCGGCCTCTCATCTTTTGGGGGCCGCTTGCCGGACAGAAAAGGCAGGCAACTCCCAAGGTCTCTCCCTCGATGCCTTTTCGCCCTGTAGTTTTTCCAGCGAGGAATTCCCGTCACTTTCGCAACTTGGTCGTCTTCCAAGACTTGTCTGCTTGCTCTGCTGGTGCTCCTGGCTGAGAGGGGCTAAGTCCCCTGCTGCACCCTGCCTGGCTGGTGCGTTGAGCTGGCACACACGTGCGTCTCTCGCAGCTCCTTTCAGACCGCGGCTGGACGGGCGAGAGTTTTATATTGTCCGCGAGTGGTCGGTCCAACAGGCCCCTCCCCTCCCTCCCAGCAGCTTCACGCCTACCTGAGCATTCCTTTCGGGGGGGGGCGCCCGCCCGCCCCAGGGGCTGCAGTCTGGAGCTGTTGGGAGGGGAGAGAAGGGAGGCGGTGTGCTGGCTTCACCTGTTGGATGCAGAACTTTGGCCGGCTTGTCTGCACTTCCTCGAGGAGGAGAGCCGGCGGATGAAGCAGACATCTCACTTGCCTGCAGCGTCAGGAGGGTCCTGCTCCCCATGTGTGTCCTGAGGGACCGAGGCAGCCCTGTCAGGAGGTGGTGGGGGAGGAGGACAGAGGAGGGTCTCCCTTAGCACAGCTGATCCTAGTCTTGCCTTGATAGGCTACAGTGGGAAGGATTAACCCTTGCAGTGCCGTGCTGCTCTGGAGAAGCTGCTCCTCTTCTGAAGGCCTTTGCAGCACGAGGCTCTCCTGGTCTGTTTGCTTATGGATCACATCTACACCCTGTCGAATCAGTTGTGGACAACTGTCAGGTGACAGTAACGGAAAACATCATGCGTCATTAAGATGCCCCAAGTGATGCATTTTAGTTCATGGCTCCTCTGCCCCCACGGGCCCGAATCCAGCCTCAAACTTGCCTCCTGGGTTACCCTTGCGACTCGCCTACAGGGAATGGATTAGGAGAGGGCCCCTTGTCCACCCACATCTTGGGGAGGAGACCTCTTGGCAGTTCTTGTTCAGGGCACATGGGGACGTTGGAGAAGGGGAGCCACGGAAGGTGTGCTAGCGCGCAGGGGCCCCTGGCTTAAAGCGTAGCTGCTTCCCAACGTCTCCCTATTTGTCTAAACAACAGGACAAATCATACATGGCTGTCCGTTTGCTTGGCTGTGGAGTACCAGCCAGCTCGGCTCACCCTGCCAGATTTATCTTAGCCACCCAGAGTCACTGGGAGTCAGGCAGCATACAAGTGGGATTGATGGATAAATAAATAAATCTTTATCTGATCTGGTCCCACATCTTGTGGGAATGCAGTCATATTGCAGCCCAAACCTTAATTCTGACCTCTTGCGTGATGGGAAGCTGGCTTGCAATTTCAGGTTCCTGCTATAAGCAGCGTCCTTTTAGGATAGCCAGTCAGGCCTATGATAAGGCCGAGCAGTTTCAGCTATCTTTGGGTTCGGGGACCTGGGATCGGCTGAGCACCCCGGGGAACCGTTGCCTGCCTTGTAAGATGGCCGGGAGACCGAGCATCTCTTCTTTGAGTTTTCCTTCTCTTGGCCACTGGCAGGTGCCTCTTGGCCTCTGGTGAGCGGTGCATCGGTGTCCCCGCAGAGCTTTGAGGACCCCCGGCTGGGGGCTGCCCGTGTGCGCTCCAGGAGGGACGACACAGGGCAGAGACCCCTGTGCTCTCTGGCCTCGCGGGCTGGGGCTGCTGGAAGCCTCTCTGGGAGGCTGAGCTGGGCAGAAGGAAAAGCTGGTGTGTTCTTCCTTCTTAGCCAGTGGCCTGGCATGGCCTCCCTTTTGCCCCTTCGCAGACAGACTCGAGTTTGTGGGGAAACTAAGCTTTGTTTCTTAGCCGTAGGCGGGGGGAAAACCAGGAGGGGGGAAGCAGGTGGAAATGCCCAGCCTGGCAGGCGCTTGGCCCGAGGGTGGAGCTGCGCAGACACCTTTCTCAGCCACGGGATTCCAAATATATTGCTCCGTTTTCCACAATCAAGAAGTCTGGGAAACTGGCTCTTCATGGAGAAGCCGGAAAGAGTCCTTCTCTCTCTCTCTCTCTCTCTCTGGCCCGTTCAGCATTTTTCCTCTTTGGTCTGAGAACGAGACGGTCCTCCCTGTGCCCTTTGGGTTGGTGGTCAGTCCTTCTAAGGTTACTCGGGACCATTTGGTAGAAGCCTTTGGACTTCCTCCCCTGTACACGCATAATGCCCCCCCCCCCCGGTTCTTGCTTTCTTCAGTGTGGACTGCCTTCTGAAGCTTTGGAGTGCAGCCAGCAGAGGGGGATTTCTCTTCTCTCCCCTCCTCCCCCCACCCCAAAATACGCCTGCCTTTCCCTCCAGCTGCTCCCCCTTCTCTTTTTTCTCCACGTGGACCAGCAATTTTCAAGAAAGCGTTCTGCCAGGAATGCACACCGAGGAATGTCTCTGCTGTTCCAAAAGCAACTTCCAGACGTGTGGCTGAGTGACGGCAGCGCCTTGTGGGGGTGGGATTGCCGGGGTGGGGGGAGCTACCGCCTCTGCGCTCACTGGACTGATGTATTAATTGCGGGAGGCGGTTGGAGGGGAGGGAAAGCTGCTACTGGCATCAGCCTGCGCACAGGAAAAGTCTCTTGGCTGCCCTGCACGGCTCTCCTCTGCGGTGCCTCCTCCGCAGCTTCTCATTCAAAGGCTATGGGGGGGGGCGGTGCGAGCTGGATGTCCCGCCCTGGGTCCTGCAGCAGATTCACCGCACCACGCTCCCAAAGGTGGCCAGGGCTCCCTGTGTAAGATATGCCCCTCCACATATCCTCCGGTGGGGTGGGGGAAGCCTGTGGATGGGAAGGGGCTGTAAGAGCCCTCCGGCGGCTCTCCTTTACCCCCTGCTGGTGCTGCTTCACTGTGAAGGGTCTGGGGGGGTTCAGCCTTGAGGACCAGGCGTTTGCCCTTACTCAGTGCCACGTGCAAGAGCCAGTTGCGGCCTCGTCTCTCTCGATCCGCAAGGAGAGAGGAGCAGTTGGTGTCTTGGGGAGGCAGTCTGTCCAGCTGGTTCATGCCAGGTGCAACAAACCTGCATAAAGAAAGAGGATGTCGGGCACGGCCATCTGCCAGCCAGCTGGAAGCGGGTGAGGGGAGCAGTGTGGCTGCGGCCTTAACATACCGTGAATGGCTTCTGGGCCCACTTTCAGATGCTTGGGAGGCACCTTCTCCCATCCCCAACTTCCTCGTAGGTGCCTTGCTGGGGGAGGGGCAGAAGCTTTGACGGTGAGTCACCTGAACGTGGTAAACATCCCTGGTTAGGAAATGAATTCCTGGCTGGCGGAGGGGGGGCTCTTTTCCTTCTGGAGAGGTTATTAGCCATCCTGCCTCGCCCTCGGACTCACTTTTTGCTTCCATGCGCTTATTGGGGCCAGATGGTGCAGTTTGGATGGTGACCCAAAGTGCCTAATGTGAGAGAGTTGGGTCCCAGGGACGCCTCCCAAACAGGGAGGAGGTGCAGCTTTGCACTGAGTAAGCTGGCAGGGAGGGGGTTTCCCAACTGCGTGTGGTGGAGTGTGGAAGCAGGCGAGGAGCCCCCTTGCTCCTGCTCCAAAGTAGTCCAGAAGTTTGATTTCCAGCAAACAAAATCAGCCTCCCAGTTGGTGGAACATGCAGCAAAGACACTGGAGGCGGGCTGGTGGATGGTTAAGCGTGTCCTAACGATTAGCACACCTCCCGCCTCTTGGAAGAAAAGTGGTTTTGGATTCCTGCTCTCACTGGGCGCCTGCAGCCAAGCCCGGTGGCATGGCTTGTTGGAGGTGGCTCCTTCAAGTGCCTGTGCACTGACCCCAGATTACAGGCTCTGTGGCTCTCGGGCCGAGCTGGATCCGCGAGCCTCTTAGCAGGGCAGCATCCTGGAGTTGGAAGGAGCCATCAGGCCACCGAGTCCAGTCTGCCGCTGGGGCTGTTAGCAGCCTCTGCGGCGGAGGCAAAGCTGGCCAGGTGCCCTGCTCTTCCAGAGAGGCTCCGCAGTTGGCGCGGCTGGCTGCCCCCTTAACGCGGAGAGGGCTGGGAAGACCATCCGGATGTTGGCGGCGCAGAGGCTGTGGCTGCACTCCGGGCCCAGGATCGGCCAAGGTGCGCCTGGATGACCTGGAGGGTGACACGTCTAGAGGTTACCCCGGAAGAGAAGCAGCAGCTCCAGGCAGGAGCCCCTGAGGCCAAGGGAGGCCTCCCTCATACCTGCATTGCTGGGTGCTGCTGTGGGGAGAGGGTTTTTTTTTTTTAGATTTTTTAAAATCCCAGCTTTGTTATTTTTTTACAAATAATCTAAGGTGGTGAGCATACCTAATACTCCTCCCTCCTCCTGTTTTCCCCACCACAACAGCCCTGTGAGGTGAGCTGGGCTGAGAGAGGGACTGGTCCAAAGTCACCTGGCCGGCTTTCATGCCTGAGGCGGGACTCGAACTCACCGTCTCCCCTTTCCAGCCCAGGGCCTTTGCCGCTAGACCACACGTTTCTCTCTCTGGTCCCCATCCAGGACAGAGAGCAGTTAGGACCGGCCGGGTCCCGGCCATCAGGGTGCTCAGGGCTCTTGCTGGACAGGGCAGCCCCCGGGCTGTCTGGGGGCACACCGGTGCTCTTGGCCCAGCACCGCTCAGTCTGGCGGCCTTTTCAGGGAGGGAAGCGTCTTCTGCAGCTTTTAGCCAGAGGGACACGGGTTCCCCTGCTGAGCTCCGGCCCTCCCCGTCCCCCAGACGGCCCTTTCCCCTCTCTAGCTACCAGAGAGCAGGCAGCGGTCCTGCTTGGTGCCTCCGAGGGCCCCTCAGGAGAGCCCCAGAGGCACTTCTCCGGTTCTGAAGTCTCTGGGTGCAGCTGCTCTCTGTGGCACGGATACCGCCGTCTTAGCTACCTGATGCTACCGGACGTGTCCCTCGGTCCCGTTGCGCTGCCTGCGGGTATTGGCTGTCCCAGGCGGGTGCTGCGGGGTCACGGGAGAACCGCTGCAGGCCAGCGCTAGTGCTCCGGGACGCCCTCTCGTCTGACCTCGAGACACAGAGACCCAGTTTGGCGAAGCCGACGTTGCTACTGCTCGGCGGGCACTGTTGCTCCCGCTGCCTCAGCGAGCAGCCTTCTGAGCAGGGGCTCCTGGACATTTTGCCATCACGCCTCCCGCCACAGTACACACCTCCCCTGGAAATCCAGAGCCCAGAATGCCATTTGGGAAAGGTGGATTTAATGTAACACTGTGACTAGAAGGTCCTTCACCCCTCCCCTGGACCCTCCCTGCACCTCCCCTTGCGGTGTGGGAAGCCTGCTGCAGAGCGCAGGAAGAAGGGTGCTTGCCGGCTGCCTTGGCCATTTCGGGGGGGGAGGCAAAACGCTCCATGCTTCCAGCTTTTGATATTTTTGTGAATTACGCTGGTTTCGGCTACTATTGCTAGAAGGTTTTACTGTTTTTTGTCACTGATGGCTGCATTTTAGAATTGTACATTTCCTGCTGGGTGAGGGTGAGGGTGATGATTTAAACTTGGATGCTGCCCAACTCCCAGCGACAGCTGCATGGCTGTCCTGCGTCCTGCAAGTAAATGAGCAAGCAGGATGCAGTATGGGGCAGAGGGAAACCAGGACGAAGTGACGCCAGGGAGGCCCCCCTTACTAGACCCTCTTTCTTCCGAGCTCCCCCCAGCAGAAGCTCTGCAGAAGCCGCCTGCCTCCCGCTCTCCCTCGCTTAACCCTGCCTCCTCCTCCTCCTCCTCCTCCAGGACATCCGCAACACCGTCGGCAACATCCCCATGGGGTGGTACCAGGACTTCCCGCACATTGGCTACAACTTGGACGGCAAGGAGATTTACAAGCCCATCCGCTCGAAGGACGAGCTGGATAAGTTCCTGGAGAAGATGGAGAACCCTGACTACTGGTGAGGTCGGCTTCAGGAGCAGAGCCCGCAGCAGTGCCCTCCCGCTACTGTCCAGGGCAGTGCGAAGGCCCCGCTTCCTGGAGGCTTGGGCTCTCTTTGGATAGGATGAACTGGCAGGTGGGGCTGAGAGGGAGGAGACCCTCTCTGCAGGTGGGGCTGGCCCTCTGGCCCAGAGGTGGGCGGGGTCTGCCGCAGGTGCTGCCCCATCGTCCCAGGAGGAAGATGGGGAGTGTCGCTGCTCACGGGCCTCTCTGCTCCCCTTTGTCCTCCCCACAGGCGAACTGTCCACGACAAAATGACTGGGGTGGATGTGAAGCTAACGGATGAGCAGGTGGAGCTGGTGAGCCGTCTTCAGAGGGGCCAGTTTGGGGACGTGAACTTCAATCCGTACGAGGTGAGGAAAGGGCTGTCGCCCCCAGCCTGCTTCCCGGTGGCCGCGATTGAGGGGAGCAGCTGGTTTTCCCGCAGCTGCCAGCCCCAGCTCTGACTCCTTTGCAGCCAGCCGTGGATTTCTTCAGCAGCCAGGTGAGGATCCATCCTGTGACAAACCGGCCCCCGGACAAGCGAAGCTTCATCCCCTCCCTGGTTGAGAAGGAGAAGGTGAGCTGCTGAAAAGGAGAGGGGCTCCCTGCACGGAGGGGCCTGGACTCCCCCCCCGGGCCAACCCTGCCCTGAACATGCCGCATTTCCCGGGAGTTCCTCCTGAGCCTTTGGCTGGTTACAGAAACTGGTGATCTGTCCTTTTAAATCCAACCAGAAGGAGGGTTACTTGCTCAGGTGTAAGGCCTGATCGCTCTGTCAGCTAGTTGCCTTGTGTAAAAACGGTCCCCGGGCCTATGGAGATGTCTGGTGATAGAGAAACTGGAGTGATTTGGGACCGAACAGGAGCCCCTGGCCAGTTCCTGTCCGGTTTACTGTGTATGTGGGCAGATTCATAGCTGCCAACCCAAACTTTCTCTGAACAACAAATCACAACAAAACTGCTGCTGGCGGTTACACTGGGGAAGCTCTCGAGTTAACGGCTCTCTGCAAAGAAACTCTGGAAGTCGAGGCAGGGAAACGTAGCGGCCTCGGAGGTTCTGGCTACAGGGAAGGGAAGGGAAGGGAAGGGAAGGGAAGGGAAGGAAAAGGAAGCAAGCCGCTGACTCTCAGCCGAGTCCAGAGCATCTTCAGGCAGCCCCTCTTTGGCTCTTGGCTCCCAGGAAGCCGAGGAGTGGGGGGGGAGCGTGTGGAAGGACAAGGGGGTGGATGGCATGACACTCTTCTGCCATTGCAGGTCTCTAAATTGGTCCATGCCATCAAGATGGGCTGGATCAAGCCAAGGAGGCCCCGGGAGGACACTGTGGCCTTCTATGACCTTTGGGCTCAGGAGGATCACAACTCCATCCTGGGACGGCATAAGATGCACGTGCCCGCCCCCAAACTTCCCTTGCCTGGGCACGAGGAATCCTACAATCCACCTCCAGAGTATCTTCCGACAGAGGAGGAGGTGAGCAAAGCTGTGGCCTGGCTTCTCACATCCTGGGGGAGTGGGAGTCACTGCCGGGTTGCGACGGGGTCAAGGGGGAAGAGGGGCTTCTGGGTCTGCAGCCGGGCAGGTGGGCCTGTGGCCTGCCCAGGGTGTTGGTGGGGCAAAGGAGCCGTCCTGCCTAACAGTCCTTCCTGCGGGAGGATCCCGGAGATGGGGTTTTGCTCCTTCCTCATCCCTTCCCCCCGCCCCGCCCATGCAGAAGCTAGCCTGGGAGCAGCAGGAGCCTTCGGAGCGCAAGCTGAACTTCCTGGCCCAGCGCCATGACTGCCTGCGCCGAGTGCCAGCCTACCCTCGCTTCATCCATGAGCGCTTTGAGCGTTGCCTCGATCTCTACCTGTGCCCACGCCAGAGGAAAATGCGGGTACTCCTTGGTTCTTTGCACCCGCGAGGGTGTTTGGATGCTCAAGAAGTCGGGGGAGTGTGTGAGAGTGTGCGCACACACGTGTGTAGCTCTTGGCTGCTCCTCCGTGGGTCAGGCAGGACAGTGCCTGACACCCCCTTGGTCTCGGTGGAGGGCACGCCACGTGTTTCTCTGCGAACAAGCCGTTAGGCGAGCGCTGCTAGTTGGAACTGGGCAGGCAGGCAGGCAGGACAACTCGCCCTCCTTCCCTGCAGGTCAGCGTGGATCCCGAAGACTTAATCCCCAAGCTGCCCAAGCCGCAAGACCTGAGACCCTTTCCAACCGTGCAAGCCTTGGTAAACTTTTGGAGGGGCTGGTTTTCTCGCTCTGCATTTTTGCTGTGGCCACATTCCTACCTGGGCCAAAAGTTCTGGGCAGCTGGAGCAGCTGTTGGCAATGGCTTTCTGCTACTTCTGTGCCAGGGTGCTTTTTGGCTGGGGTGGTGGTGGGGACACAGACAGCAAGCCCTGCTTCCTTTGCAGGACATCGGGGGCTACAGCAGGATGCCCTCTTTCCCTTCACTTGCCTGCCCTTTCCTCTCTCCAGGTGTATCGTGGCCACACCAGCCTCGTGCGCTGCATTAGTGTCTCTCCTGCTGGGCAGTGGCTAGTGTCCGGTAAGTGGCCCTCGGTGGCTGGCCCTGCATATCAACCGCTTTTCCTGTGTTGAACAGTCGCAGAGGCTTTGCTCCTGGCCACGAATGCTGTATCACAATTCTCCAAGGCATGGAAGGCGGGAGACGGGAGCTGAGCGGAGGCAGCTGGGACTCCTGGGCAGGATTGTCCTGGACATGGGAGGGCAGGTTGAGCCAGGCAAGAGCCCTGGGGGTGGGGGGGCAGTGAAGTGGGGTTTCCCAGCCCTGCTGACCTCCTTGTCCTGCACAAAGGGACTGCCCTTTTCAGATTCTCAGCTGCAGCTCTAACCCCCCAAGGGCTTCGGCATCCCCCTTGCTGCAGGGATGGTCTTTGGAGTCCCTCCTCATGCAAATGAGGAGAGGCCCTGCCTTCTGGTCAGAGATCAGGGCCCAAGGGCTTTGGCATCCCCCTTGCTGAGGGCTGAAGTGTGCAAAACACATTAGTCCATACAATATTTGTGTTAGTGGGCTGACGAGATCCCCATGTGGCTGAGATGGAGAGAATTAAGTCCTTCCAGAGAGCCACAGTCAACATTCTTGGGGATACATACTTCTGAGGAATCTGGGAAGATGCAACAACTCCGGTGCTCTTGTGTAGGTTCAGATGATGGCACAGTGAAGTTCTGGGAGGTGTGCACAGCCCGGTGTGTGAAAAGTCTCCCAGTGCAAGCTGCGGTGAAGAGCATTGCTTGGAATCCCAACCCTGCCATCTGTCTGGTGGCTGTGGCTGTGTGAGTATTGCTTTCAGCTGCCCCAGAAGGAGCCCAGCATCGGGGCAGGCAGCCGTGGGACAGGTTGAAGAGGGCACCCAGGCGGGGCGAGCATAAAGTGCTGCGCAGGGGGAGAGGAAGATGGGTGGGACTAATGGGAAAGGTGGCGGTGGCTTGAAATTATTGGGAAAGGATATATTATCTTTCCTCCTCCTCCTCCCCCTACCATGAAGCCCGCTAGCAGGAGAGGGTCTCCAGCTGCCAGGGAAGCGATTGACCCAGTTTGCCATCCAAGTCCAGCAGAGGACAATAATTTCTGGGTGCCCTGCTTGGCACAGAGAAGCAGCCTCGTTCGGGAGGGCTTCTTTCCCTGTTGGGAATAAGGGGTAGTTGTGTCTCATGTGCTGCTCATAGCTCTGTCTCGGGGCACACGGGTGGCTGTGGTTTTCGTTTTCCTTTCTTTTAAAGTAGACGCCCCATGAGAGGGATAAACCTTGGAACTGAGTCGATTCAACAGATTGCTTTGATGCTACACTCTGCGCAGCTTGCAGGCGTGCGCACCTTTGGCCGCCCGCTGTCCCGGGAAGCATTTGGGTCCCTAACACCTTCTTGGGTCCCTCCGTTCCTTCCAGGGAGCACACAGTACTGCTGGTGAATCCTGGCCTTGGGGATAAGCTGCTCTGTGGGGCCACCGACCAACTTCTGGAAGGCTACGTGCCCCCTGAGGAGGGCCGTCTGCAACCCGTCACGTGGGAGGAAGCCACGGAAGAGGAGCACCGCTTGGGCATGCGGCTCAGAGTGAGATTCGGAAAGGTACTGGCCTGAGCACAGTGAGTGCTGGATGCGTGGTTTCTTCAGGGCAGCGGGGGATGAGGCACCCTTCTTTCCCCCCATCTTGTCTCCTTCGTCAGCCCTTGAAACAGGTGACGTGGCATGGAAGGGGGGACTACTTTGCCACGGTAGTGTCGGACAATAGCCACCTCCAGGTCCTGATCCACCAAGCCAGCAAGCGCTGGAGCCAGGCACCCTTCCGCCGGAGCAAGGGCCAGGTGCAGTGCGTCCTCTTCCACCCGCTGCGGCCCTTCTTCTTCGTGGCCACCCAACGCTTTGTCCGCGTCTACCACCTGCTCAAGCAGGAGCTCACCAAGAAGTTGCTCACAAACTGCAAGTGGGTGTCCGGCATGGCTCTCCATCCTGGAGGTGAGTGGGGGCTCCCCCAGGGCCACAGCGAGGGATGCTTGGGGCTCTCTCCCCGCTAGGTGGGGGCAGGGTGCCCACTGCCCCGGGGGAACGCCGGCCCCAGCAGCCTTGCCAGCAGCAAGGGAGGAAGGCCGCCAGGCGGCCCACGAGAGGAAGCCTTTCCGATCTCTCCCGCCCCCTGCCTTGCACGGGTGATGGCCGGTGTGGCCTTCCAGCATTTGTGCTAACGGGCTCCTCCTCTTCTCAGGCGACAACTTGATCTGTGGCAGCTATGACAGCAAACTCGTCTGGTTTGATTTGGACCTCTCCACAAAGCCTTACCGGGTGCTCAGGTAGGGAGCAGCCCACCCTCCCTCCATCTGCTGGATGGCTGGCCAAAGCTCCCTCAGTCCAGACCGCAACAGCCTCTTGCTGTGGGCGTGATAGCTGCGGTGGGTTTGTTCCCCCTCTGATGCAGTTGCATCTGGTCGCTGAGCCTGAACTGCAGGGGCCCTTGCAGCCCACGATGCTGGCATGCCAAGGGCAGACCAATGCCACCCACACCCGTGCCCAGCGTAATTCTGCCTTCAGCGACCCCCTCGCCTTGTGAATTAGCCACCCCAGAGCTGATGCCCAAAGCCAGTCCTAGAGCACGGAGCCACCCTTGGCAGCAGTTGCTGCTTTTCCTCTCCTCTGCTTTCGGACCAGATCCTCCCACCTCCTTGCGGGGAAGGAGGGAGGCGTCTGATGGAGGGCAAGGTGGGGTGAGGGGTCATCTTTTCTCCTGTCTGGCAGGCACCACAAGGCAGCCCTGAGGACAGTGGCTTTCCACCCTTCTTACCCCCTTTTCGCCTCGGGCTCGGATGATGGCAGCGTCATCGTTTGCCACGGCATGGTCTACAAGTAAGTATCTGCAGTGGGGGGGAGGGAACGTTGGGGGGGCAGGACTGGCACAGCTGATCTTTCTCCATCCTCTCTGCCCAGTGACCTGCTTCAGAACCCGCTCCTTGTGCCCGTGAAGGTGCTGAGGGGCCACCAGTTGGCCCACGACCTGGGAGTCCTCGATGTCCTTTTCCACCCCACCCAGCCATGGCTTTTTTCTGCGGGTGCAGATGCCACCATCCGGCTCTTCACGTAGCTCTGCGCTCCCCTTGTGGCCCTGCAGCGGCGTCCAGATCCAAGACAGACTTGGCAGGAGGGTGGGAGGCAGGGGTCTGCCAGCCCCTCCTTGGGCTTCATTCCCTGGAAGGCTGGAGCTGTGATGCAGGCAAGAATAAGGAAGCGGCTGGAGCCGCTTCCCAAGTTGCAGGAGTCCAGCTGGAAGAGATGGCGGTTCTCGAGAACCGGTTGATGCGTGTAGACGTGCAACCGCACTGAAATATGCAGAGCACCGGAACTGTCCTTTGCATTGTCCCTTCTGTTCTCTTGGTAAATAAAAACTGCCTGATTTGAAAGGATGGTGCCCCCTTGACCAGAAGCAGAACACGGGTAAACAGGTTAAAATGGGGTGAGGGAGGTGAGCTGGGGGCAGGGAGAGGGAGCGTTCTGGTAAAGTTGCGTGTTGCCTTTGGTCCTGTCGCCCCCAGAGACCACTTGGGACTCGGCTACCTTCCTGTGTACACAGGCCGCCTTTGAAAGAGCCTGCCACACGTTTGAAATGTGCCCATCAGCCCAACAGATTGTGGCCCTTGGCTTAAGGTTTCACACTCAAACAGTGTCTTATGCATTCCCCCCCCCCCCCCGATGTCCTGGTAGTGGGAAAGGGATGCTGAAAATGCAAGACTGCATGACGGAAGAAGCATGGGACCGCAGAAAAGCATCACAAGGCTTGGGCAGGCCACAGTAGACCCAAGCAGCAGATAGCACAAAGACCCTCTGCCCTCCACAGCCAGAGGGAAGTAGCAGGTTTGCCGTATCAGGCTAATGGCAGCAATGCTAGAGGATCCCGCCTTCCCCCACACCTGAGCTGTGTTCTCACCCGCTCCTGCAAAATTGGCTGATTTCCCTAGGCTCCAGCTTGGCGCTTCCATTTGGAGCTGTTGGGTGCTCTGGCTGCAAGCATACAACTGTCTCATCTCTCACCGTCTGCCAGGCCCAGAAGAAGTAGTGCGTTTTCCTGCAGCCTTCTCATGTGGGTGGGCCCTAAGGCTGGGTTGGTAAGAGGTGGCGCACACGTTCATACACCATGACAGCAAAAAACACCAGAGGAAGTTTTTGAAATTACTGCCAAGTAGCCATATTACAGGACAGGAAGGCCTGGCGCAATATGGTTCATGGGGTCACGAAGAGTTGGACACGACTTAACGACTAAACAACAACAGCCATATTACAGCCTAGCATATGCTAACCCCCAAATAGGGTTGAGAAGCTAAGCCTGGATAAGAGTGTCACAAGAACACAGCCTTCTCCCTTTGGTCCTCTCAGGACACCAAGATGGGAGAGGGGTCTTGACGAGAAACTGGCCATCTGACAAGACTAAGATGATAGCCAAACAAGCAATGGCCCCTTAATTTGGGGGGTTGGGAGGGGAGGGGAGGGGAGGATGAGGAAGTGGCCAAAGGATGTGTACATAAGCTTTCTGCCTTTTATTTAGAGCTCAGAAGTCCTTACAGAATTTTGTTCGTTCCTCAGAAGGGGAATTGGTTTAAAAGAAACTGGACGGAGCTGTCCAACTTTCAGAGAGACCACAGACCAGAAGTTCAGATGGACTTCTGGGTGCTTTCTGAGCATGTTTGCATAATTCTCCTGAAAAGGGATTTTGATGTTTCCTCCTCCATAGAAGGAATTTCCCAATTTCCATGCCAGGCTGCAGCACTGTTAGTCTCTCATTCAAAAGGTAAACAAGGCCTGATGTTCTTGGCTTTTTCAAGGCTGGTTGGAGGCCACCGCTGAAGTTGGCAGCACTGAGGAGAAATGGCTACTGGTGGACCTTCTTAATCTTGGGGATGCAGGCTCAGATGATTGAGTTTCTGGCCGCGAAGCTGCCGGGGATAGGCCTGGCAGCATGGAATAGATGGAGTAACCATTTAAGACACTCCTCACAATAGTTCCACTAGCTCGGTGGTTCATTACCACTTTGGGGTCACATCAGACACTGGACAGGATTACAGAGGGAACGTGTTCCTCCTGCTCCCAGTCCCATTTCCCAGCCTATTTAGGCAGCCTCCTAACTTCCTCCAAAAATAATTGGTCAAATGGCAGGAGGGAGAACCAATGAATGGCGTTTCCATGTGCAGCAGGAACGTGCCACTGGCTGCTGTGGCCAAACAAGAACTTTCCTTCTCATGCCTGAGTTTCCCAGAAGCATCTAGCTGCTCGGATTTGTAGGGTGCCTCAGCAGAAATAGCCCCCAGTCCCCTTCCTCTGTGCAAGTCCTGGGCACCAGAAGCTGAACGAGAAGTCTGATTCGGGATCCTCTTGAGGCCAAGGAGCTGAGAAAGAGGCCTCGTGGTTCTGAGAAGCAAATAGTTTATTAAAAATAAGTTGGTTGATTCTATATACAAACCCTTGCTGAGGAACGTGCATGAAGGCCGCAGTGCTATCCCTGCACCGGCCACGGTGGGGCTGGAGGAAACGTGCAAGCCGTGCCCCGGCTCCTGACCAAAAGTTGAGTCGGGAGGCACCTGCTTGTGTGCGCTGTGGGAGGGAGGGAGGGAGGGAGGGAGGGGTTGGGTGGGCAGAGAGTGGCCGTGCGGATCCTGTGCCCGTGTGCAACAGTGCTATGCCTATTCTGTGCCCTGTGATCTGGACCAGTCTGCCCATGGAGGGGGGCTGCAGTGTGTCCCCTGGTGTGGAAAAAAACATTGAAACACAGAATGGTGCAGACACCTCAGGTCTTCTCTTTAAGGGGGGGGGAAATGTTCCAGTATGAGAAGGTTGTGTTGCTCTGGAAGACGTGACTTGTCCGGGAGGTGCGACGGCAAATCCGGTCTGGGGGGATCCAGGTAAGCCTGTTTCCTCTGGCGGAGTCCATCGCCAAGGGCCCTTAAATGGCCCTGCCCAGGCGACCCAGCGTCTCCGCTGCCTTCACCCGCACCGTGGTCACAGGGTCCTTCAGCAGCACGGTGAGAGCTGGGCGGAGAGAAACAGCAGAGGCAACTGGTTGACCAGGGGCCGAGATTCCCTCCATGGTCCGTGCCCAGCTGGTCACCCTTCCGTACCCCCCTCCCCCACATCTGAGCAAACGTGGCTCAAAGCCGAGCGCTGATGGAAGGTCCAAGAGGCCACAGGCTATCCAGGCCCACGCAGCTCTGGAGGGCTCAGGGTGTCCTCAGCTCCATCTGCTAGTGCCTGGCCCGGGCCCAGCTGCAGAGCAGGAGAGGGGGGCCAGGAGTCCCTCCCAAGCAGCAGAGATACAATAATATTTTTCCAGTAGCATGTTTACACTGCAAATCCGAGACTCTCTTGTCCCGCCAGAGTGAGCGAGACGGCCTGATTTATGCGCAGAGTGCTTCCCGTCCATCAGCCCTGGGCCAGCTGCAGCAGCTCCCCGGGGGGGGCGCTGGCAGGCAGAGCGCTCGCACTCAAGACGGGAAGCTGTGGTGACCCCATCCGGAGTCCTTGCTGCTCCCCCTCCCCGGCATCCCCCCACCACTGCAAACAGACGGGCCTCTCTTTGGGACTGCTCCATCAGCCAACGGAAAGATAGTTTTCCCTTTTTTAGTGGTTTTTAAGCTCCGCTGGAAAGCTCAGAGATTTTCCAAGCCTTACTCTAAGCGATGAAGTCACTGCTGACAAGGAAAAACAGGAGCAAAGTCCAGGAAAGTTTATTACTTAACTGGTTTTTCTGGCCAGTCTTTGAGGGGCAACCCTAAAGGGCGGAGGCAGCCGGGCTGCACGGAGAAGCATGCCCCTGCTCCTCCCTGCACCACTGACCCAGGCTGGGGCTAACCAGGGACAAGGAGCTGCCCTCCAGCCAGGCAGGACATTGCACGCCACCTTCACCCAGGAAGGAGAGCGTGCTGCCAAGCTTGGCCACTGGGAACGGCTTGCCCTCAGCTGAAGTCCCTCTGGGTGTGAGACGACCAGCACTGTGAGGGAACAAGGAGGCACCCCAGAGGGAGGGTCTGGGCGTGGGCAGCCTCGGAATCTGAAGCCCCAGAAACCTTCCCTGCCTAATTTGGACAAAGGCCTTTCCCAGCGTCATCCAGCTGGATCCCCCAGCGGTTCCTGCACACTATCAAAGGCTGCAGCGGCAGACCCACATTTCAAGTCTAGCAGCTGCCCTCAGGGAAACACCGCACTTGCTCACTCACCAGCAATAAGTCCGTCCAGATCCAGCTGCTGGCTCTGCGTTCTGTCCACGTGGAGGACCAGGAAGCCTTCCAGGGAAGGGTGAGAAAAGGCAGTTAGTCCCACAGAGCCAAGAGAATCCCACCAAAGAACGCCCAGGAAGGGAGGCCAGCGCTAGCCTTCGCTAGGGGCTCCTTCCCTCCTCACCTACAAACATGGGGGCAGCAGCTCGGATGTCAGCCCAGTTGCTCTTGAAGTAGAAGAGATTGATGTTGACCAAACGACTCAGCGTGTCTGGGTAGCTCTGCATCTAAGCCAGAGGAAAGGAAGACCACCTCTAAGACAAAAAAACTCCAGGACATGGAAACCAATCAAGGGGTCCCAGGAAGTTCAGGACAAGCTTGTGTCGCCCCACAGCCAAAGTGCTTGAGCCACTAAGACTAATGGGTTTGAGTCTGTTAGATGTTAGGTCACGCAGCCAGGCCAACATCCAAGCTTTGACCTTTGATCCAGGACAGCCAAAGGGCCGCCTCCAGCCCCTTTTCCCAGCGAAAGCAGAAGGCTCTGCTCTCCCTTCCGGATTCCTTTCCAACAGAACAGAAGGGGAAGCTGTTCTACTGTCCTCCTCATCCCGGAGAAAGGTCTGCATGGATTCCTTTGGAACTAATCTGGAATTAGAATTAGCTTTGACTGTACTTTTGACCCTTTCCTTTTGCAACTGGTTGTTTAGCGTTGTTCTGCCACGGTCCTTGAAGATCTCTGGCCCAGAGCTTGAGAGACAGGATGCTTTGCAGAGACATTCACCTGGGGAAGGGCAGGGGAACCAGGAGGCCAGTCACTCACCAGGTGTTTGCAGACGTCATTCATGAACTCGCCGTAGTGGAGACTCCACTCTTCATGCAGATGTTTCTGAAACATCTCACAAAGCACAGGGCAGCTCATTATGGGCCCACACATGCGCAACGCAAACTTGCAGGCCTGTGAAGAGGGACAAGAGATGAGTTGCTGAACTTCTCTGCACAAGGGAAGAGAACTCGGTCCCTCCTAGCCAGGGGACGGACCTTGATGACCTCTGGCTTCGGGTCCTGGAGGTGCAGCAGCAGCGTCACCAGCCCATTGAGGATCTGCTCAAAAAAGGCATCTTCACCACTCCCAGAGCTGAACTTTGCCAGGTTCCCAAAGAGGATGGTGGATGTCTTGCGGAGGCTGGGATTCTCCTGCAAGGAGAACAAGCCCAAGAATCCCATGGGGGTGGCTAGAGACACATGGGCCCCGTTCCTCCCCTTCCTCCCCCACATCCATGTTTTCCTTCCCAGACTTCATGCTCCCTGTAAAACAATATCCATGCACTGTACTTGGACGTTGTCTTCCCAATTCCTCTCCCAGGACATCAAACATGCTCAATGCATCATCTCTTGCTTGCCATGCACGTGGGCATGAGGAATAAATTCCTGACTTGCCAAAGCCGGGCTTCCTTGGCATTGTCCTCCCCGAGCACATTTCCACAGACACACATGTGCATACCACAGTCTGTTGCTGGGCTGCTGCAGCCGACTCCCACAAGGCCACCACACCCGAAGACACCGGTGGGCAAGTTTCAACCCTCAGGCCGCTCAAGTCTCATTATGGATGACAGCTGCACCTTTGCTGCTCCGCTCAGATGGCCACAACTTGGCATGAGGTTGGGGGGCAGGATTCCCAAGTCACGTTAAAATGACCTGGGATTCCGCAGAGGCATAGAACAGCCACCTCTGCCTTCACAGGTAGGCAACCCAGTGCCTGCCACAGGCTATGGGCCACGACGGTGCTTGGGCCACGACCACAGCTTGAAGGCATGGGGGCTGCCTAACAGATTCCCAGAAGTGCTGTCAGATTTCCCCTCCTCTGCTGATTTGCGCTGCTTACGCTGTCAAAGAAAGGCCGTATTCTGATGGTGACGTGCAGCAGCACAGAGTGGATGTCTCTCTTCTCAACGAAGCCCAGGATCTTGGAGAGGCTAGACATGGCTTCCAAGGCAACCAGGTTGTGGGGATCGTCCTTGTCGTCTAAGCTGTTGATCATGGAAGCCAGGAGCTGAGCCCCATGCTTCCTTGCCTGCAAGGGGTGGGGAAAACAGACGGCACGAGTTCATTGGCAGAGCATGTGCTTTGCAGAAGGGAGATCGCCTGCCCAGAAACTGGGGTGTTCTGTGCCGTCCGCTTTGGCAAAAGCAGGAGGCCGCAGGGGACCCGATCAGACAATGGACAGATGGATTCTTGGAGCAGCAGAGACGAGGCTGCCGGAGCGGGGAGCTGACAGCAGATGGACTCTGGTCCACAGGCAGAGATGCTGCCATTGCTACCATTTTTCCACCCAGGAAAATGCTAGCGAGCCTCTGCTAATGATCTTATTTCCAGACACGCGGCAGCAGAACCGGCTGCCCGCAAAGATGGAGACAAGCTCAAGAGCCTGGCAGGAGACAGCACTGCTCGACTGACCTCACGTGGCCATGCCACCACTGGAACCCTCACCTTTTCTGGTGAGCCCAAAGCAATGTTGCCCAATCCACGAAGGGCCAGCATGCGCACAACCGTAGAGGAGTCTCTTTGCCGGGCTGTCATGCTGTCCATCAGGGACTCCAGAAGAACCAGATCATTTACTACATTGCTGCTGAGGAGCTAGAAGACACACGTCACACTTTTTTGTGATAGGGAAGCCTCTACCGCAATATGGTTGCACACCAGAATGGTGAGCTTCTCAACTAAACCTTCTTCCACTTCATTCACCAATTGTTATGGGGTCAGAAATCTTATGGCAGAACTATGGCACAGTTAGCTGGGCCCAACATGTCAGCTCCCAGATGGTGCAGAAGGTCAAAGACAGAGACTTCCCAGCTACCCAATATCCAACGTACAGGAGAAAAGAGTCTGAAGCCTGATGAAATTATTGTGTCCTTCTCAATTTGCTATGGAAACTTCCACAAGAAACTTCTCTAGGGTGGCCCCAGTCCACCTCTCCCAGCTGCACTAGATCTGTTCTTCCTGCTCAGCTGCCTTCCCTCTTCACCAGCATCCTGGTTTGGTGCAGGCGAAGGACCAGAGCAATTTGCGGCTTCTCACTCACATGTGTGTGTGTGTGTGCGCGCACGCAGGCGTTCGCTCCCCAAAGCGCTGTTTAAATGCTCTGTGTGCACTAGTGGGCAGTCGCCCCCCAGGCCCCCACCTAGCTGTAGGCTTCTCCGCCAAGCCTCTCTTAATCCCCAGCTGCTTTATCAGCCGAGGTTTTAAGAGGCAGCTTCCCAGCGCAGCAGCCGCCCCGTGCCAGCACCAGCGCCAGCGCCAGAGGGAGCAGCTGCCTTGTGATGAAGACCATTTGGACAAACCCGGGCTGGGGCTGGCAAGTCAGCTGAGAGAGGGTTGCAGCAGCCTGACTTCCTACATTCCTCAGGGTGATACGTAAGGAGTGAGTGAAGGTCTGCTGAATGGCCAAGGGCCGGGCCCCTGGAGGGAGGGCGCGAAAAAGTGCAGAGGGGATCAGCCCATGCCTCCTTGGGGAAGGGAGGGCCCATCCAGTGGGGATTGTCGCCCTGGGCAGGTGCACCCTGTGAGCGCTGCAGAGCTATCAGATGGGCCCAAGGAACGCTAGAAGCCACACAAGCCCTTTGCTTGCTTGCCCCACATGTATCTTGAGCCGTAAGTTGCCCAGGGCTAGAGGGCTGAGAGGCAGCGCATGGTGCAGGGATCAAGGGGTCACCAGCTGCTGTGTGAGCCAGAACTACCAGTGAGGCGAGACCAGTCGCTAAGCAGACCCTTCCCTCCATCCCCTGGACCTCCTGGGTTTAAGGTGATGAGCCTAAGAGTCGGGGAGACGGGACTGTCCGAAGAGCGGGCTGAAAACGCAGCACAGACTCACCTCTGCAAAGAAAGCCGTGGTGGTGAGCCGTTGGCTGTCATAGATACTGTTCAGCATCGGTGAAAGCATCTTCACAATCAGGGGGAGTTTGGGCCCCGCGTGCTTTGCCATGGCCCTGGAAAACAGCCCCAGTGAGTCCTCCAGGTGAGCCAGCCCAGGAGCCCCCCGACACCCTCCCTGCAGGTGCCTTCTCCAACAGCTTCCCCGCCTCACGTCTGCTGAGATGCTCAGCTTGGCCCCTTCCTCCCTGCCCCAACCATGTCTGCAAAGAGGCCCCACCGCCCGGCAAAGGGGCAACCAAGCGGGCATTTGCTCCCATCCCTGGGCTTCTATAGCCACTTGGCTTCCCAACTCTTGGAAAGCGTGAACGCCCCTCCCAGGCGGTTGTGAGAAAAGCAGCCAAGGCCTGGTGCCAGCACTCGGCAGCAGATGGGGCTGCCCAGAGCATTCCCGACCCCTCCTGGGACTATTTCGGGCAAGCAAATGGCCGGGATCCAGAGTTTCACCTGCTCACCTTGACAGGAAGGCTACACCATCGTAGTGCTTCTCCGGACTTCGCAGCAGTTCCCAGCCACCGGCCTCTGTTATGGCACTGCTCACTTGCTCACTGCCACCCTGGCTCAGCATGGCCTTGAGGGTCTCGATTGCAGAGCTGGGGAGGGGGAGAAGGGGCTGAGGCAGAGGCACCCCTTCTTTCTGGCTACCGCCGCCCAGGGGCCCACTTGCTGGAGGGCAGCAAGAGCCTTAACCCAGCACTGATGCTGCTCCTGGGAGCCCCTCAAGATGTCCGCCTGGAGGTCCAGAACGCCAGAGGAGCTGGCCCACCAATATTTACTGGGGGGGGGGGGATGATTCCACAGCAAAGGGGGGCCCCGTCCGGGCAACTCTCATTATCCCCTCTCACCAGAGCCAAAGCATTAAGATGTCCGCCTGGAGGTCCAGAACGCCAGAGGAGCTGGCCCACCAATATTTACTGGGGGGGGGGTGATGATTCCACAGCAAAGTGAGGCTCCGTCCGGGCAACTCTCATTATCCCCTCTCACCAGAGCCAAAGCATTAGCAAGGGATAATATTGGGAGACCCCAAAGCAAGAAATCACTTCCCCTCGGCCAGGGCTGGGACAACCAGCTGGGTGAGAGATGCTCCAGGGCCCTTAAGCTTCCAGGCTGCTTCAACACCTCTGGCCAGAGCAGTCCCTAAGAAGGCCACTAACTCTCCGGCTAGTGGCCCCAATCCTGCAAAGTGAATGCACACTTTCCACAGCAGGAGGTGCAACCCCTCGTGACTCGTCTGAGAGACAACCATTGCAGATAGAAGTGGTTGGCCATAAATGAATACAGGAGGGTGATCTGGACATCTGGATGCAGGCCAGCTGCCATGCGAAAGCCATAACCCAGCCTGCTTCCAAGAACAAGTGGGTGACCATCGGCCTCCCTGGCATGGAGCTCCTCATGTGAGGCCAACGTCTCTCAAGCCTATTCCCCCACAGCAGAAGACTTCCCACGGTGATGGGCGTAGGAGAACCGAGAGGGCCCAAAGTAACCTTTGGTCAGGCTAGTTCATGAGCAACCTTGCAACAGTGCTTAGACCAGGGGCTTCTCCACCCCGCCCAACCCCTTGCTTCACAGCCACCTTAAGACACATCCAAGGCCTACAGCTCCTGTCTGGGCTGCCCAGTGTCTCCCCCGACCTGGCTTTACATACATTTTGGCTTCTGAGGATGATGGTTCCCAGGGAATAAAGGCTATGGTTCTCCTTGGAAAGCCACATCTCATCATTCTCCCTCCTAACATGTTCAGAAGAGGCAGCAGGCAGTGGGGGTTCCTTCCTTCCTTTCCTTGGCTGGAGACCACAAGGAGGCAGCTCACGGTTGCTGCCAGCCCTACTGGTGCTGGTTACTACATCTGCAACCAGAGGCTCCCTTTGCAGCAGATGCCCTAGTGACTCTAGAGAAAACCGTGCACTGGCTGAGGCCCACATGGGGTTTGGAAGATGGCCCAGCATCTACAGTCTCTCTCACTGAGGCCCAAGTACCTCCAGGTGCCACCCCAGAAAGTAAGAACTTCCAAGGACCACCTCTACTTTCTTCCCACCAGAGGCGCCGAGCCCTGACCTGTTGAGAAACAACAACAAAAGGGCCACTCCAGAACTTGGGCATCATTTTAGCACCCTGCTAGTCTCAGTTTCCTGCCCCTCACATCCAGCTCCTTTCTTGCCCCCCACCAGAGGCACAAGCTCTGGTTTTCCAGGCAACAGAAGAGCAGCCAACCAAGAAGCGTTGCATCAATGAAAGCTTCTGTGGGCTCCTTGGAAAAGCCACCTGCTCTTCCCTTCTCAATAGAGTTGGGTCACTCCAAGTCCCATGGTTGTTTCCTAGTGGGCAGAAAGAAACGATTGGACCCAAATTGATCTGAAAGCTCTGGAAAGCTGGTGGGAGTAGACACCACAGGGCTTGGAGATGCAGACCTCTCTCTCACACACACAACTCCAGTTCCTATCAAAACCACACATCAGCACTTTGGAAGCTCTGCTTGCAACCTCAGAAATCTCAGCGGCCCCCAGAACTTCCTGCCTACCAGTTCAGAAGGCACGCAGGATCTGTGCACTCCAACCAGGGAAACAGGCTCAACATTCGGGGGGCTGCAAGGGCACCTCCCCTCTGCTCCAGGCAAACTTACTGCTCCTAAGCAAGCCACCCGCTGACTGCCAAATCACAGCACAGCACCAGCTGCATGGCGCTGGCAGCAAGGACCATCCGGGCACACCTCTCCTACTTGAGAGTTCCAGCGCCTTCCCCCCCGCCCACACCGCCTAGGTTGAAACGCCAAGCCTTTGGTCCCCGAAGGCAAGAGAAGGCGCATAGGAGAGTGGGGCTGGAAATCCAGGGGCCCCAGGGGCCGAGAACTCAGGCTGCCCCTCTCTGACCCAGAGAGCTGAGGCGTTGCTCCTTTGCACGGCTATCCGGAAGAAGCCCAGCCGGAAGAGAGCCACCCCCCACGCCACTGCTGCTCCCCCCATCTTCACACCATGCAGCTGGCCCAGCCCCTCCCTGGCCGAGACACCCGGGGCAGTGCCTCCGGCCCGTCCCAGCCGCTGGAAAGGCGGCCGTAATCCAATCCAGCCATGCCGAGCGCGGGCATCTCGGCACCATTGGAGGAATGTAAATGCAAACCACAAGGCAGCCTGCAACAGGAAGAGCGATTTAATGTTTCCTGATTTCGGGGAGACGAGTGTGTGGAAAACAGGGGCCTAATCCCCCTACGGAGGTCAGGCCTGGCTTCATACCTAATATGTTATGGGCCGTGGAGTATTAGCCAACCATCATATTACACCCCAAGCGTTTGCAGTGGTGTTTACTCAGAAGCCAAATCAGTTCCACCTGGCAGGGAGGGAGGGAGGCAGGCAGGCGCCGGGTTCCCCCGCAGCACCGTCCCTCGGCGAAGCCTTTACCTGCAAGGGTCGAGAGCGCGGAGGGGCTGCCCACGGCTGACGCTCTTCCTCTCCTTGGACTGCATGTGCTTCGGGAGCTGGACACCCACCGTGCAGCTGACCCGGAGCAGGAGAGAGACAAACAGCTCTGCGTACAGCCCCGCGACGGCCGGTCCAGACTCCCGGACAGACATGATCTCATGCAGAGCACACGTGGCCTGGTGGGGAGAGGGGGGAGCCTCATCCATATCTGTCCCCCAGCAGGAGGCACCAGCCAGCCCCCTCCTAGCACACGTCATCGGCGCTCAAGGTCAGCAGCCTGCCTGCAGGACCTGCCTGGCCTCAAGTGGGCCACCCCCTGCCCCCGCCCCGGCCAATCTGGCAGGACGTGCAGCTGCCGCCTCCTGGGGGCCCGTCGGGCACACCAGCTCCCCACTGACACACGGGCTCCCCCAGCCCAGCAAAGTGGAGCAGGAGCAGCCACGGAGGGCCCAGAAGGAGTCTGCAGGGCCCGGAGCCTCAGCACTGGGCGAGGCTCGGGAAGCCTTCCAAAGACAGTCCAGGAGAACGTCCTGGCCAGAGCAGGGCAAAGGGCAGCTCCAGGCGGGCAGGAGCCTGGCACAGGGAGCCAGGGGCCCTAAGAGCACCCCAGAGGGTATGGGGAGCTCCCTTTCTTGAGCTGCAACAGCCACGATACACGGAGCCAAGCAACGAGTTGCACACAAGTGGCCCTCAGGGAGTGGAAGGCAGCGGCTGTCTTCCATCTCCCAACCTCCTGCTGTTGAGAGATACAGTGCCTCTGGACATGGAGGTTTCACTTCCAGGAGCCAGCGGTCTGGCTTCTCCGCAAATCCATCTGGGCTAAGAAAGGCGCTGGGCAGCTGCCAGCTCTGCACCAATTCTTAGGGGCAGGAAAAACAGGGGCCCTTCAAGGCTGCGGCAGAAACTCAGGGGCTCAGAAGCTAGGGTGGAGAGCAGCTTGTAGAGGACAAATGGGGGGGGGCGTTTTGTTGCCCCAAGTTGTTAGCAGCAACCTATTTTTAGATAATCCTTTCCAAAATAAACGTCGTCTCAAGAAACCACGTTTGCAAAACGGCACCAGTTCCATCAAAGGGCGGCTGCAACCCACCCCCTCCTGGCCCGCTGGGGTGACGAGCTGCCCGGTGTTCTGCCTGCAGCTCCCCTGCTGGGCTTGGCTCATCCTGGAGCCGCAATGAAGGGGGCTTGCCAGGCCCCCTGCAGGGGCGCAGAGGGAAGCGGGAGCCTCTCCAGGCACAGGTGGCGGTGCCAGGCCCCTGGAGTGCCAGGCCGGACTTCTGTCGGGCAGCAAAAGAAGCCTTCACAGCACCTGAGCCCCACCGATCCCCCGGCAAGGTAGAACGCAAAGCAGCCTGGCTCCGGGCAGGCAGGTGGCACAGAGGACCTTTGGCTTCAGAAGCCCCCCGCAGGGCTGGTGCGGCCACCTGGCCTGGGCCAAGCCTAAGCAAAGCGTGGGCACATGGGGTGACAGCAGCACCCCCGTGCAACTGGGAGGGGAACAGGGCCAGGAGGCAGGACTGCTGCCCAGGACACTCACCGACAGAGGCAGGAAGGTGGCAACCCGCTCCAAGCGACTTCCCCGGAGGAAGGACTTGTTCTCTTTGTACGGGACGTCCCGGTCCACTTTGTCCAGCAGCAGCTCCAGGACGTGGGTGGTGAGGGTGGGCTCCGAAGCCAGCGCCCTCCACATGGTGCAGCTGCAGCTGAGGGAGGGAGGCAGCGCATCAGAGCGGCCTCTGCAGCCCCTTGCCTCTGCTCTCCCCCCACTTCCACCCTGCTGGCTAGCTTTGCTAACGAAGCGAAGAAAGCAGGACGGTCACTTGGGGCCAAACTCCAGGGGAGATGGAGTCTTGGGCAAGGCCGCTGATCTCCCCGGGAGCCCCCAAAGGAAACAGGGGCGCAGGCCGGCCAGCAGTGCCCTCACCCCAGATTTCCCAGCTCCAACCAACACACCCCTCTTGGCCCTCCCTTCCTCCCTCCCTCCCTCCCTCCCCAGCTGAGTGGGGGAAACCCAGAGCTGCCTTTCCAAGGGCCCCTTCCTCGAGAGAGGAGCTGAAGCACAGCCTGGTTGCACGCCATTCAGAAGACCCTGGCTGGTCAGGGGGTGGGGGACAGGCGACTCGGAGAGCAGCAGAACGCAGCCTCCAGGAAGGCCGCGTGGGGCCATGGGAAGGGCCCCCTCCTTGCCCTCCTGTCAAACCTGTTCCCACCCTGCCACAGGTGCAGGGGTTTGACATCCCCCAGGGGCAAAGAAGGGCCCGAGAGGCCCCTGAAGGGAAGGGCTCCATACGCCGCCGAGCAGCAGGGGCTTCAGGCCTCCCACCTGTCCAAGGGGAGGGGATGGCTGAGGAGACTGGACACCACCGCAGCTTTGTGCTGGGCGGCCAGAATGCAGACCGTCTGCTGGGTCGCCTTCTGGACCGTCTCCTCCTGCACCTCCTGCAGCTTGGCATGGATCAAATCCAGGAGCTCCGGGACCTGCGAGGGAAGGCAAAGGCCAGGCTAGTGGGGCCCTAGGTCCCTTCCAGCTCTATCGCACTGCTTGGCAATTCGCCAGCCTCAACCCAGAAGCCCGCCTCTGCCTGGGGAAGAAAAAGCAACCCAACGCCAACAAGCTGGCTTAAACCTTTCCAGGCTGAAACAAAAGGACGGGCTGCCGAGCCCTCATGCCAAGGTGGGCTGTGCTGGCCCCCCACCCGCTGGGGCCTCCCCCGACCGCCCCAAGAGAAGGGCCCCGTCCCTTTCCGTTGGAAACTCAGGTCTGCCCTGAGCAGTCAAGAGGAGCCCGAGAGGTGCCCAGGGAGCCCTGCTGCAAAGGAGCTGGGGCCCCTCTGGGGGGCCCTTTTCTCAGGTGCACAGGATCCTTTCCTTCAGCAGGGAAGGGAACGTTTCCAGGCCTCAAGCCACCTCCACCTACCGGAAAGGCGGGTGGGCCGGGGTCCAGGGCAGGATGGACGGGGGCCCTGGGCTCCCCCCAGAACTGCAGTGCTGGAGGATCAAGCCAGAATCGTGGGTGGGGAGGGGGCAGCTGAAGCAGCAGAGCAACCCAGTAGGCACAAGACGTGCCTGTGGGGGCTCCTTACCTTCTCCAGCAGAACCCCCCCTCGTTCCTTCAGGATGGAGTTGATCATCACCGCAGCAGCTCGGGAGCAGTTCTGGTCTGCGTCTGCCAGGCCCTCCAGCATGGAGAGGAGGAGGCTCAGCAACTGGTCCGGGGGTAAGTGCTTGGCCATGACCTTCCAGTGGGAAAGAGGAAAGAGGCTGTCAGGGGAACCGGAGGCCAACCCGCCAACCACCCCTTCTCCCTGTCTGGAGACCCTGAGAGACTTCAGGGCAGCCCAAAGCAAGGGGGCAGATCCCCAACTCTCTGGGGACAGAGAACGACCCTCCGCACCACCCTGACACCACTGCCAGCCGCCTTTGGAACGGAACGGAAATCACCTTCCCATAGGTGGCGGTCACCTCCAGAGCCCAGACGCAGCCAAGAGGCCGGCTCTCCGCTAAGGCCGATCCCACCCTACCTTGGCGATGTTGCAGCACGTCTGGAAGAGGACGTTCACATCTGGATCCTCCAAGCTGGGCTTCAGGGCTTTCAGCTTCTCCACCGATTCATCCCTGTGATCCTGGGAAAAGCCTACCAAGAGAGCAGCAGCCGGATCCACGGTGTCACGCCGCTGGCCCCCTCACCACATCCCACTCCTGCCCCTCGGCCTGGGCGGCTTCCCTGGGGCAAACCCGGTGCTGCAGTGCACCTGCCCGCCTGGGCCCTGCGGCTTCTGGCCCCGGAACACAGCAAAGGAAACGCTGCCCTCTGCTGGCCGCCGAGAGAGGCGCCACCATCATGAAGCCGTCCAGAGCCCCTGCAGAGAAAGGCCCTCTGCGGCCCTTCAGGACGGGGCCCAGGATCAGCCGAGGACTGGGAGGAGCTCACGGAGCAGCCCTTCCGCCGCGAGGGCTCAGCGACCCATTACCTTCGTAGCACAGCTGCACGTAAAGCAGGGAATGGACACAATCCACTGCGTGCTTGCGGACGCTGGGCAGAGAGTCGGTGCAGCGGGGGGAGAAGAGAGCCATCAGCAGCCCCAGGTTGTAGAAGGGGACCACCTTCTGAGCAAGGAAAGAGGCCGGCTGAGCCCCGTGGCCAAAACCCACAGGCCAACTGGTCAAGCGGTCGTGGGGGGGCAGTGCAATAAGGCCGGCCAGGGATCAGGAGAGTGTTCTGGGGAGCTACAGCTGGCGAGAACTCTGTTCCTTGGCCAGAAGGACTGGCGAGGCGAGACAAGGGCTGCCAGCAGCCATGCCAGTCAGCCAGCTCACCTCCCCAGATAGCTGGCGGCCTCAAGGCCTCAAGCCACACTCCCCTCCCCAAACATGCGAGGCTGGGCACTCGGCCACTGGACCCCTGCTTGGCTTAAGCCGCGTGGCCCATACTGGCATTGGAAGACCAAGTGGCAGCCTGTGGAGGCGCAATGTAGGGAAGCCAAGCTTGCGCAGCCCATGCCAGGGGGCAGAACCCGCGGGAGCGGGACTCACGCTGACGTTCAGCTTCTCCCGGTAGAACAGCAAGAGGGCGGCGCTGACTTCCACGGCCCGCTGGCGCTCATGCTCTTTGGCAGACTTGATCCAGGGGCCCAGGTGCTGCAGAGAGATCAGGCAAATGGAGCCCAGGCCCCTCCTCCCTGGCCCACTGGAGATCTGTCCCCCGGCAGGCCGCCGCGCAGGGCTCCCCCAAGCAGCCCACGGTCCTCTACCTCAAACATGGTCTGCAGGCCGTGCGGGGTCATGTGCCGGTGCAGGAGGCCCTTGAGCAAGTCCTTGAGAGCGGCGAGGGTGGCGCACCACAGGGGCTGGCAGGGAGGAAGCAGGAGCCGTTCAGCCTCTGGCCCGGGGAGCAAGCTAAGCGGGGGACTGGGGTCCGGGGCAGCGGACCTCAAGTCCTGACGCAGCGTGGAGGAGGAGGAGGAATTTGGTGCCGGAAGGAGGCGCACGCAACTCCCTGTCTGCCTGCGGGATGCCTCCAAGGCCAGCAAGCCTCGGCGCCCCGTACCTCTTTCGGCCCGTCCTCCGCCTGGGGCCCCTCTCCGTCCTTCGGCACGCCTGGCGGAGGAAGCGGGAGGACGCTGTGAAGGCAGGTCTCCACCAGCTCCACCTTCTCGGCGTCGCTCAGGGGGGGCTCCAGGACGCTGCCAGGCAAGTTAAGGCTGGAGAAGGAGACTCTTGGGGGGGCTGTAGCAGCTTGGTGGCTCATTCAGAGAACCCCCCAGGGGTGCAACAGGGGAGCCCCCCCTCAGCTGAAGAGACAGATTTTGGTGGGGAGGGAGCCCTAGAGCAGGGCAGCCATCGGAGGAGGCCCTGCGCTGCCCGAGCAGGAGGGTGAGCAGGCAGCGCGGTGCCCGTGCCCGTAGCCCACCAGGTGAGGTCAAGCACTGTGTTCTCCAGAGCTCCTACCAGCACCTTATTCTTCCCCAGGAGGGAGGAGAGAAAGGATACACCAAGTACATGCAAGCTGTCATGGCTCTCGGGCGGATGGGTGTCCGCAAGGAGTCCAGAGGCTCGGCTCTGATGAAGTCCTGTGAGGAGAATGTGCTCCTGTGGAAGGGTCCCCAGCAGCCCTTCTCCATCCCCAAGGAAGACCCCCGCCCATCCTGGCAGGGCAGGGCAGGGCAGGGCAGGGCAGGGCGCCGGCCGGGTGACTGTGGGCCAGTCCCTCTCTCTCAGCCCAACTCACCTCATAGGGTTGTTGTTGTTGTGGGGAAAACAGGAGGAGGGAGGAAAATTAGGCAAGTTTGCCGCCTGAAGTTATTTATAAAAAATATAACAACAAAGGCAGGATAAAAAAAATCTTTAAAAAAAGCAGCTCGGGCCCTCCGGAAGGACCACCCGCGCTCTCTGTCCTCCGCCTGCAGGAGGACTGGCCGGGACCGGCAGTTCTGCGGGGCTGGAATTCAGGGGTGCCCTGCCCTCGGCCAGACCCTGGTGTGGGAGAGGAGGGCCCGCAGCTGCTGCTGGCAGAACTCCTCCAGCGGGCCTTACCAGCATCTGCGCGACCACCTCTGCCTTGCGGGAGAAGCTGAAGTCCCCCGACTGGGCGCTGCTGCAGACAGCCTGGCTGATCAGGCAGATGCTGCGGATGAGGCAGAGCTTCAGGGTCATATCCTGGGGACAAAGAGCCGGAGGGGGCCATGAGGGGCTGGCAGGGCACCCGGCAGGGACTCCTCCCCTGCTCTCGGGGCGGGAGGCAATTTGGCGGCACCAAAACCACCAAATACCCCGCTGGCCCCTTCGTTTGCGCCCAACTTGAATCCCCTTCCGTCGCTAATTAAAACATCACCAGAAGTTGGCAGTCTCTATCCAAAAGGCTCAGGGGGATGCGTGGAGCCCAAGATCTGCTCTTCCAGAAGGCAGTCCGTCCATCCAGGCGGGAGCGTCAAGGGCCAGAAGAAGCCCCCTCCCCAGCACCTTTCCCCACTGCAAGCCGGACTCGGCCCCACCGTTGCCAGAACGGGCCTCGGGAGACAGGGACGCGGAGCCAAAGTAGGCCTTCCGGGGTCACAGGTGGCTGGGCTCCCCCTGCACGAGCCCCAAGGCGTTGGCTTCCTTCTGCCGTGCTGCTTGGGCGAAGGCCCAAGCAGGCTACCAGCCAAAGGCGCTGACCGCTTCAGGGCCCAGCTGCAGCCCACCCGGTTCCTCGGGCCCGAGAGGGAGGAGAGTGGTCCCCGCAGAGTTAGTGCAAAGACACCAGGAGGAGGAAGGTGTTAGTAAGAGCAGGAGCCCCTCCCGAGAAGCGCCCCTCCTCTGGGGCCAGGCCAGCTCTTCCCTTGTGAGGCAACCCCAGCCCCCTTCCTTGCCCCAGCTGCCAAGAACCCACGCCCGCGCTCACCTGGGGGGCCTGCTTTGCTTGGGCCACCGCAGGCCTCCTCACAAGGCAGTTTGCTTGGCGTCTCATGGTTTAACCCATTTTGGGAAGCGCCTTGCAAGAAGGGACGGTCCACAGCAGACCCCTCCCCTCCCCTGCTATCTCCACCGTGCAGTGGCAGGGAGGGGAAGCTGCCTGGGCTCAAGAGGACCTGTGGTGCCAACACTGCCAGTCGCAGAGCCCTGGGACTCCCAGGGTCTCGTGCAAGGAGAAGGGCCTCTTCCAGCCCAGCAGCCCAGCATCTCACCCCCGGTCAAAACCTCTGCCGGCAAAGGGGAACGCCCTGCCAAGCCAGGGCCCTTCCCTTTCTTTCTCACGCAGACCAGAGCTGCTCCTCACATTTGCTCTGGTTTCAGGGGCAGCCCAATGCCCCTGGGCCTGTTAAGCCTGGAAGGCAAGGGGGGACCCCGCCTTCGCCTTGGGAATGCTGCCCCTAGGAGGTCACCAGGGCCTCCGCAGGGAGGCAGCCCCGAGACAAGCTGGTGCCCCCATCCCTCCGGAACCCACTTGGCTCAGGACGGCTCTGCTGGCGGGTGGGCCGCCATGAGCCAAGGGGAGCCAATGGCTACTGGCGCTCAACTGCCCCACGAGCCCTGGTGCGCTTCTCTCCTTCTCCCCAAAGCTCTCAGAGAAGCAAAGAGGCAGATGGACAGGACAGAGAAGGGCAAGGTGTACCTTGGTTTCCACCTTTATCCCCAGAACCTGAGCAAAACAAAGGAGATGTGCGTTAACAATCCCGAGCACCGAAGCAGAGCCGGCTGGCTACCAGCCACGGCCCCCCCGAAGGCAGGATGCAGCCAGCCTCACCTTGGTGTTGAAGTAGAGGAAGATGTTCCGGAGAATATCGGCATCGATTCGGGCCAGGACCAGCTCTCTCGGCGCGTGCTTGGCCACGTAGCCGTAACACAAGATGAGGGTGCTCTTCACCTTCTCAACCTCGTGGTCGCTGCGGTCCTGGAGTTAGGCCAGGAAATGTCAGAGTCAAAGACCCACCACTGGAGGACCCCCAGGACAGGATAAGACGCACCTTGAAGATACTGAAGAGGCCAGCAGACTTTCTGAAAACGTCCGACTTGACAAACTCCTCCAGCTTGGCCAGAGCCTCATCCAGGTGGGTGACAGCGCACAAGCCCAGGCAGGCAGCCAGACCCTGGCCAGGAGGAAGGAGAACCAGGTAGGACAAGGCAGGAGTGTTTGGGCCAACAGGCGCTGCCCTCTCAAGGAGACGCAACCGAGCCCTCGCTTGGCCTCCTGGAGTTGGCAAAAGTCTGATACCAACAGGCCTCTGTGGATGGCACCCTGCAAGATGCAGCCCCTTCCAGGCTGGCGTGGTTCTGGCCACTCCTCCCATCTGCACTCAACCCAGACAGGGACGCTTGGCCACCCCCCCATCCCATCTGGGTGGTGATGAGCACACTGTTAGCCAGGAAGCCACGTGAGATCCAAGCCTTCTCCTCTCCGTAAGCTTCCACTCTCTGGCCTACCTCCCGCTCTGCCTCCTCCTGGTAGCGAGCTGTCTCCAGCAGCCCCTGAAGCTGTTTCCGCACCAAGCCCTTGTTTGTGCACGCAGCCAGGCCGACCCCAATGGCTCTGTAGAGGAAGTTCTGCAGGAGGACAAGGAGGATGCATCCGAGGAGGGACGGGGCAGCCCCCGAAGTTCAGGAGCATTGCAGGACTGGCGCAGAGCGCTCTCCCTGGGAGAAGCTCCTTCGCCACTGCCCAAGCATGAGGAACCAGCCTTTAATTCTCTGGCCAGCCATCCTGCAAGAGCCCACCATTCCCTGCCCAACCCAGGCTGATTCAGGCATCCCGAGAGATCACGGGCAGGAAAGGAGGGGCCAGCTCCTGCCCTCCAACCACCCCAACGGCAGACCTTCTCTGGGGACAAGCTGCTGTAGCCATTCAGCTGTCTGCACATTTCCAAGACCAGCTGGGAAATCCAGGGCGTGTCTGAAATGGTGGCCAGGGTCTTCCGGAGGAACTACAGGGAGAGACACGTAGTTTGAGGGCAGAATCAACCCGAGGGTGCCCAACAGTCCTGGCCCAGCTTGAAGTTCCTGTCTGCATTTGGAAGGGACGGAGGCAGAGCAGGGCACCCAGGCTGGCACCACACGCATCAGCCTGCCAGATCGCCCTAAAGGCTCTTCCACTCCAGCCTCTGGTGCGAACAGGAACCGCTGCAGGACGCCCACAGCGGCAGCAGCAGCTTCTGCCCACGCCCCTTAGCAGCCCCCAGACGCTGCTGTTCTGCCTCCGATGCTGGACCCGTCAGGGCAGCCACAGCCTCCCTTTCCCCAAAGTTGAGGACTCAGCTCAGCTTTTCCAGGCCACCGGGCCGAGTGGGAGGACACCGCTTCTTGCGGTTTCAGATCAGCTGTGGGGAGGCAGAAACGGCCCTCCGCAATCCGGCTGCCTTGAGTCTACACTCAGGGACCCGGGACTCGGGGACCCCTCAGTTGCAATGGCAGAATCCACTCAGGGAATGGAAGCCAGGGAAGGGTGACGTCCCCGCCAAGGGCCGCAGCAGCAGCAGCGCCCTGCCCTCCGGGGAAGAGGCTGCTCAGATGCGGCCCTTAGGCACAAAGGGGTGGCACGGAGGGACCAACCCGGCGGCTGGGCCCGGTTGGGTCTGGCATCCTCCAGGGAACTGGATTACAGCTGGGAGCAGGGCAGCTGTGGAGGCGCCCTTTGAGAAGACGCCCAGTTGGGGGGGGCACGACGTGCTCTGGCTCCCTCGGGCCAGGCCCACGCAGCAGGCCCTTCCCCGGAGCCTTGTGGGCAGACGGGGCTGCTCACCTGAAGCAGCTGTTCCTGCCACTCCTTCAGAGACAGGGAAGCCTCCGTGTTTGCTGGAAAGACAAAGCCACCGTGGGAGACGAGGGGAACAGCCCCGAGCCCCGGCCCCCACGCCCATCAGCTGCGCCCCGCTCCAGAGTGGCTGCGGGGGCTTAGAGGAGGGGGGCCTAAGGGCGGACTGGCCACTGAGGCAGGTGCCAGGCTCGCAGAGGACAGGTCTGGAGGCAGGAGAAGGACCTACGGCTGAGGGCTGGTTGTGGGGGGAGCTCTGGAAGCATCCAGCCGCCACTGCCAGAAACCTGGCCTAGCCTGCCCCCCTCCTGATGCAGCTGCCCCACAGCTCTCCTGCTTAGGAGGGAGCTTCAGCCCCGCTTCTGGAGGGCCCAGGCTGGGGAGGTGGTGCTTCGACTCCAAGCAAGTGGGGCAAGTTGGGGGAACAGCACAAACGCAGCCCCCCCAAAGGCAGAGAAATTAGCCGTTCACCACCGCTTGGATTCCCCCCCTCAGCTCCTGAGCCCCCATAGCCGCTCGCCCCCTCACTGGGACCGCTGGGCCAAGCAGAGGCCTCACGACGCTGACTCGGGGATCCCTGAGCTGTGCGCTCCCGCATCTGCAGCCTTTAGCCCTCTGCAGGGCCCGCTCTCGGCTCTCCGCCTGCCTGCCTTCTGCACCCTGTATGCGTGGGGCGGGAGGGGGACACACCGCAGCACTTCCCAAAGTGGGAAGAACCACTGCTTCAGGGACTTTCTGCGGGTGGAGCGTCTGACACAACCAGCAGTAAAACCGGTCAGTCGAGGCAGAGGCCTTCACAGAACGGTCCCAAAGGGGGAAAGAACGACATCCACTGGTTGCAGCAAGAAGAAAGCTGGGTGGGGGAGCCCCCAGGTGCCTTGGAAAGGCCAGCGCCACACCGGGGGGGACAGGGCCACCCCCGCCTTACCTTCCAGATGCTCCAGTAAAGCAGGGACCTTCTTGCCCCACAGCTGCTCGGCTGCTCTGTGGATGCTGTGCTGCAGGATGTGCAGCAGGCGCAGGGCCACCGTCCCCTGGCCCTCCCCCACGTACGGCTGGGAAGCGGCGATCTGCCTCGGGGGAGAGGGAGAAAGCGGGAGGGAGACGCGTGGGGGCCACGCTTCCTGTCTTGCAGGGTCTTGCTGCGGGCCAGGCAGGGAGGACCCCAAAAGCGCATTTGCTTGGGGGACCCAGAGGCAGGTAAGCCGGAGCCCCAGCAAACCCCTCCCGGGGCGAGGGCAGAGAATGGCCTCTGGGGCCTCGCCCAAGATCGGCCCTGCAAGCACGGAAGGGGGTGAAAGCCGTTTTTCTGGCCCACGCCCAGTGGAGGGCAAAGGGGAAGGAACGACTCCTTTCCCAGCCAGTTACCCCCCCAGCCGCCCCTTTCCACTCACCAGCAACCTTGCCATTAACGCGTAGGGAGACGGGAGGTTTGCTGCAAGCAAATGGCAATTCTTAGGAGTCAGCTTTGCAGGGCAGAGGAGGCCAGCTGCCTCACCCCCCCCCCCCCACACACACACACCCAGCAAAAGAGGCAGTGAGCTTTTTCAAGGGCATCCCAGGCCAGGCCAGGCCAACAACTGTGGGCTGCCCAGCCAGCGTGGGCACGGCAAGGAGCGACGGGAAGCCCTCCACACGGCCCGGCCTCTCAGAAGGGAGCAGAGCTGGAAAGGGAACAGGCGGGCCCAGCTCCGCGTCCCCATGCAAGGGCCAGCCGGCTCCCGTCCGATGCAAGGGGCCCACCAAAGCCCCGCTCCCAAGAACTGACTGGCTGCTTGGCAAGGAACCTTTCTCCCCCAATGCTCTCCCCATCCCACCCCCCCGCTTGCCCCAGAGAGGCCAACACGAACCCCCAGGGTCGTAGAGGAGCTGCAGGTCCGAGTCTCCCTGCTCCTGTTTCTGCGTCGCCAGGGAGAGGAGGCTCCTGCAGAGTGGGGTCAAGGCGTGGGCCAAGGGGATGGGGGTCACAAAGCCCAGAAGGGAAGGCCAGAGCACCTGGGGGAGAAGGCAGCAAACACCCTTCGCCCTCTGCCCAGCTCAGCGGCAAAAGCAGCAACTTTGGGGTCCCTGTGGGGAAGAAGCTGTCCATCGGGAGGCACCCGCCCCCTCCCGTGACCTCCCACGTCCGGCTGCAGGAAGCCCGGGCAGGACCTCCCCGACACGGCCAAAGGGCTAGGAGCCAGCGGGGCCACCGAGGCCCAACCATATCACCTTTCAGGCGTCGGGGGAGACGTCGCTCAGCCGGCCGTGGCAGCCAGCGCCCCTCGAGAGGCCTCAACCGCACGTCCCAGCAGCCTCAGCCACGGACCCCCAGAGCTTCCCTCGGCACACTCACGTCAACCATCCTGTCCACGGTGCTGCTGAGGAGGAAGAGGGTACTGGTGCTGATGCTCCTGACCTGGCCGTCCGTCACCTCCTCTGGGTCCAGGGAGTGCTGCTGGGAGACCTGTGGGGGGGGACAGGGTGGTGGGGAAGGGGAGACATGCTCCTGCCCCAGGTCAGACCCAGCCTGGCTTCCTCCTGCAGCCGCCCAAGCCTGCCCTGGGCTTTCTGGGGGCTCTCCTCCTGTTGGTCCCCAACACAGCAGCCCTCTCAGTGGGGCAAACCAGGCCCACACAGCGCAGAGCGATCTGGCTGGCCCAAGGCTCCCCAGAGGCAAAGGCAGCAGAACCGGCAGGCGGCTGGCGAGCAACCGGGTGCCCTTCCTGGCCCAGCAAGGCAGGACGGCCCAGACTAACCCCGGCCCCAGGCTTCTCGGAGGAAGACGCTCCCGGGCCGGTTTCGTGTTGAGTTAGCAGGCACAACCCCATCGGCCCGTCAGGCCTGCGGCAGTCCGCTTGCCCCCACACCCCACTGCCCGGCACGGACC